CATCTCCTCAAAACATTTTTGCCCACAAAATGCATAGTCAAATCCACTTTACTGTGAAGAGCTTTGAGACGTTGTGACGTGATGAGGTTCTATTTGGTCACTACAATCCATGACTGTTTGTGGGACACTGCTGTGCGCAATTGGCTGCCGCGTTTCACCCACAAATGTACAGTCAATTCACTTTAAAGTATACTCTGTGAAGTGCTTTGAGATGTCTAGAAGACGTGAAAAGCGCTAAACCAAATGCATGGATTATTATTATTATTATTATTATCAAATGTAAGGAAAATTACTATTATTATTTTTGGGTAGAGAAACAGAATGTTTGGATTCAGTTGCACAACAAGGTCATCAATTCTGCACAAGGGATGTTCCAGCCCAACTTCCAACATTTTGATAGAGATAAACATGATAGGGGTCTGACCCAAACTATCACAATGTTTGCAGAACAAGCAGTGCATAGGACATTTGGACTCCAAGGATTGAGCGGCCGAAAGGTAAAAAAAAAAAGCATTGTACGATTTCTATTCATTATGTTGTTTTAAATATACTTCATTTTAAATTTCTGCTTTTAAAACTTGCTGGACAATTTCTCAGATTTCAAAGGAAAACTGCAATGGTAGACCACATTTTGCTGGTTCATTTTCATTTTAGTATGAGCATACTAGATAGGATAGGAGTGGATAGGAAAGGAGTGGAGGGCTGTAGTGCAGTGGTTAGCGCTCGCCTCGCAAACAAGAGGACTTGGCTTCATTTATATCAAATGCACGGAAAGATTATCCCTTGTGAAATTATTACTTACAGCTTGGAAAAACGGTTCATAACCCCAGTGAAGCTCTTCCACAGGACTAAATCAGTAGATACTAAATTACACTGTAGTCTATAGATATGAACTTTCAGAGAGCAATTCCCCTCTATACAAACCAATTATGAAATCCCCCTCACAACCAACTGCAGATTACTTCTCAATAATATCACAACAGTCTTAAAACAAGCAATGTGTATCATGCAGCAATCATTTTGCATTGGTTTTACGTTTTACAAGTTTAACATCAATTCTGAACCGATATTTATGACAATTTATTCAATGAGTGTCACATATTGCAGATCTTTGACTAGTTACAATAAGGTATCCGCTTTTCTTTTCATGAAACATATTTCTCCTATCTCCCCCTCCTCCAGCCTCACTGAACTAGACACTGGTTATAGATGCTTTAACTAGTGAGTTACTGGCATGTTACTAAACAAGCATTTATGAAGACATCACCCCTTTGAGCATCAAAGAGCTAGAGACATTCCCATACCATGCAATGTACACTTTAATAAATCAAACAACAAAGTCATGAAGTTATTCTGTTCCTCTTGCAGAATTCAACTGAAGATCCTCAAGTTTCCTTGGATATACTGACAGAAAGAGATGGGAGCAACAGCTTTTCAGATTACTTCCCTTTTACTAGGCTTCATAGGTTTAGTCTTCGTCATTGTTTCTACATTATCTACTGCATGGAAGATGTCAACTTTCCATGCAACACTTATCACTTCCACCCGGACTTATGATGGGCTCTGGAGAACCTGTGCTTTTACCTCTTTGGGGACAATGCAGTGCACGTTCTATTGGTCATTACTTGCTTTAAACCGTAAGTAAGAAACTTCTTAACTGAACTGATGACCAAAACTGATATACGATTGCCTGGCTTATCTTCATTGAATGCCCTCTCAAAAACCTCTCTTTCAGTTATTACCAATTTCAGCTGCACATGGTTTCCTTCCTTTTGAGTTTATTCTGTGCCACGCCTTTATTATTTAGGCATAAATGATGAGGCTCAGACTAACTTGGGCTGACTATCCACTGACTATCAGTGGAAAACATTTCAGGTGTGGGGTAAGAAGGAGGCATTACTGTTTACGTGTGCCAATTAACATCTTGGATTTAAGAATAATATTGAATGCAAAGCAGAAAAATGTTCCATTCTTCAATTGTATAATCCCTCATGTTAATGGGGATTGAGTGAAAATGGGTTGTACTATAAAGGAACATTGGCTAGAACCTTGCCATATGAGCCATTGGTTAGCTTTTCCCCCTAATTATCCCTTGGATATTAATCATACATTTTTCGATGGAATTTACGGGCTGCTAGAGCCATTATTCCATTGGATAATGGAAATCAAGCAACAGAGAGAAATAACAAGCAATTAAGCCACTTGGAGTAAACATGATGGGAATTCAATACACCAACAAGGAAAAATTATGAGAAAACAGCATAATGGCTTTATTCTACAGAGTCCTGCCGCATCTATAGACGAATGTATGCTCCATAATTCAGCGCTCTTGCCAAGTGATACAGTCATAGGACACTTAGATGATATAGCTGAGACATCCATCAATCTTAATCGTGCCTGATCATTCCCAGCTAATAATCACTGCTGCTAATAAACTTGATGATTTCATATCCGTACCATAGCATACATCAGGGACGACATAATGACGTTGAGGTGTGTAAGGTGGTTGGCTGCTGGCTGGGACACATGTTTTGGACAAGTAGAAAAATAAATATTGTTTGATTCAAATAAAAAACTACTGGGGAGCACAATTCAAAACAGATCAGGATTCACAGGAATAGCTACTACATTCACTTGAGATACATTCTCATGACTTAGCATCATGTGCTGAATCTTCATATGCAGCATAACACAAGAATTAGAAAATATTATTGCTGAATGTGAAATTCTGCAATAAAAGCTATTTGCCTAAATCCATAACTATTTAATAAATGGTCTTACACCATTAGGCATATATTGGAGACAATTTAAAAAACTTTAGTACATAAATTATTTTTGATGCTTGTCAAGGAACCCTGTAGCAATGTAAAGAATGCAACATAATCCAATACGTGGTTTCCCAATCCTATAGGTTTCAGATTTGGAAAGTGATTGCTTTAGAGTTAGTGCTATTGATTAAATGTCTGGTATGAAAAGAAACATGGTTTCATCTATAAAGTCTTGGAAGCAAATCTGAACACAGTTCAAGGTGAACCGAGCTGACAAACCTTGAATGCCTATTTGTAGCATTAGTCAATTTGGAAGAATTGCAAGGTTCCTTATATTGAGCATTCAACTAATATCTCGCCAGCCTAAACTGATTGTTCATCATTACAATAATTATCACTATTGAATTTACAATGTCTTGAGAAATACACCATACCACTACTCTGATTCCATATCTTCAACAATTTTTGATCAAAACAACAAAGGAACAATCGATGAGTACTTGAGCCATCACTCATATCCTTTTTAGTTCAAGAGCACACCATGATAGCTACCACCACCTCTGTTTTAACTGGTCAAGAAACACAAAACACAAAAAACAGACTCACATAACTCATAATCTGGCAGTTCCTAACAACTCCCTCGGACCTTAAAATTAACTATATTTTCCTCTTTACAAATTCACAAAAAATCCACTTACCCTTACCTGGATGGTGCTGATGCTGTTTATCCCAAAGATCAGAATGCTCAAACACCTGTCAGCAATCAAATTGTATCATTGCAGTACACATCACAGTCCTGTTCACAATTAATCATCAAATTAGTGTGAAATACCCACTCAGAATCCACGACATGAAGTTGTAGCACTTTTTCCCTTTATAAATACCAGGACTGGCACATGGGAACCTTTATTTAAGTAAAAGTACTGAAATGTTGGCCTGCTCTCTGGTCTGCTTCGCTTCATTGATTTGCTACTTGATTCAGATAGTCTATGTTATGCTTCGCATACACCTGGCCCCCATTTATACAATTTAGGTTTTTAAAGACCAGTACGAACACAGTGGTGTAAATCAATATTGACTCCATTCTCCATTTGCATCCCTTCAAAATTCTCAAGTGATTCAATGGATGACCTAAGGATTTTCAGGGAACCATTATCAAATATATTTAAGAAACAAGTTGCTTTAACGATCCCTGGTTAATAGAAATGTGGTGCAAGAAATATAAAAAAAAGTCTACTTAAGTGAAATCTGTAGTACATATCCATCCTATTGATTGACAAACTGGGTACCTGTCAGAGTCCAGGATATATTATACTACTGTGAGCCAGATTGAACAACCCAAGCATTCTCACATTAATTTTCTTTCCTTTTGGAGAGTATATAGCTTTTGGACGTGCTCCCGATGTGAAACGCGCTATACAAATGTAATTTGTTGTTATTGTCACTGTGCTCCAGACCACACAAGAAAGCCGAACGCTTAAAAAGACAGCAAACAAAATCAAACTACGATATATGCTGATGGTGGTGGTTGTGAGGAAAGAGGAAAATGGGCCTTGCAGAAGGGAAATTTGGACATAGATTGGAGTTCGGGGAAGTATATCCAACCCGGGGGTAGAGTAATGAAAGAACGTCACCATGTGATGCATTTGGAAATTAACCTTATTCCAAAATAAGTGATTTTCAATACTGCACTGTAGCACTTTCATCCTATTCAGTTTTACCGAGAGCTCCATGCAATATTGATACTGAGAATCGATTCCATGTAAAACATTAACTGACCTTAACTCTGTGACTCAGGTCTAGTGCACAAAATAACTAAAAAAAACAACTGTGCTTTTGCGAGGTTTTGAACCAAATTATACTTTATAAGCCATTTATGTTTTTGTACTGTGTGAGAATATACACAGACAGAAAGCACACTGTGTAATAATATAGGCTGTACCACGGTGTTAAACGAATGAATAAAATGAACGAGGATGTGGTTCAAGGGCTTATCGGGGTGAAAATTCAAATATTTCCTAATGACAAAGGTCTTTACTAAAAGTAATTCACAACTGTCCTTGTAAAATACAAACGAAATATGAAACATGTTGACAGTTGCCCTGCTTTTTTGGTTGAATTTTAAAACCTAATGACTGAATCGATACCGTTTCGGGAAAGTTCATCTTTTACTAATCATCATAACTGCCCAAGTCACACCCATTTATTGCCGTTTACGTGCAACCTTATCACTTTATGACTGAGCAAGAGAGCGAAGGTTGGGTTGTCTTTATGAAGGAACAGAAGAGCGGAGAGGGAAAGAGTGTCTGGACTTGAAGAGAGACGTTTCCCTGCGCTCGTGCTTGTAACAAGAGGATTCTCTGCGGGTCTGAATTTTTTTCTGGAACGAGACTATCCTATTCGTAAGGCTTCAGGATGTCAGGACCTATGGAGATCACCGGGTTTCTGATGGCAATAGCAGGGTGGATGCTGTCTGGATTCTCTTTGGCAAGCAATTACTGGAAGATTTCAACCATTCAGGGAAGCGTGATCACGAGCTCCAGGCTGTATGAAAATCTGTGGAAGTCTTGCGCCCAGGACAATACTGGTGTTTTCAACTGTCGAGAGTTTGAGTCTCTGCTTGGCCTATCTTGTAGGTGTCTTTTTAACAATTACATTTGAACCATGCTTGTTTAAACCGCAACTTTACAAATGTAACCATTTGGGAGCCTAGGTAAAAAAATGTACTAATTGTCATTGGTTTTCAATTATTGTTCTCGTAAAGTTTCACAGGCAAATTCTGAGCTTTTGTGAAAAGGTGCTCACTTAAGAGCTGAGTGTTACTTTGACTTGTTGACGGGATGTGGCTGACTAAGTGCCACCTCCCTTCCCTTAACTCGCACAAGTGTCCATTCGCTATGAGTGAGCTTAGATAGTGAGTGTTGGTGTGGTGTGTGAGTGGGACATAGCAGAATTTACATTAAATGTAATCTCCCTAATACTGCCTCAACTAAAATCATCGAGCTTAAAGGTAGGTTCAACCTCAGATGTTTGGTTTGCATGGCTCAGTTCCATACATATATCACATTCTAGCTTTCAGATATCAGTAACTCTTAGTAGTAGAGTGATTCCAATTGTTCAAAACTTTTTAAAAGGAGTTAAAATTTAACATTAGTATGTATTTATTTATTCAACGTTTGCTTTTGATACATAAAATTGATGGTCTTCCTTTAAATTGGTCATGTTTTTAATGCAAGATTTGTTCCCACTATTGTTGAAAATATACTTACTTTAGAAAAGATTCTGCCTTTTACCAGTAATCATAGTAATATTCTATTAAATGAATCAATGCTGCATTTTGTACATCAAAGAAAGAATGGTAATTTAGGCAATATCAAAAAAAAGACACAAGGAAAGAGTTTAGTTTGTGCCGTAATCCAAGAACTATCAGAATGACTAATTGCATTTTTCTACCCTTCTATAAAAGTCATCCTTTTCTGTAGTCTTTTCAGTTATGTTTCAAAATTTGAAATCAGTATAATTGCAAGATAGTTAATCAAGAAATTATAAGCATTGATATCCTTTAATGTTCATAGTTATAAGTTGGAGGCCAGGACTGGGTTCGCAAGTGAGTGTTGGCTATTGGTAAATGTCTGGTGAAAGAATCCTTTGAGAATTGGTAAGACAACCATTGAAGGATCACACAAGAGTTTTTTAAAAAATGATTTAAGTAAATCCTTTTTCAGTTACTAATGATTTTTAAGATGGTCGGATGTCAATGGGAGGTCCTTTATCCTCCATTTGAATGAGTTTGACAGGCGCCTCCCAACTCTCTCTAGAGTATAGAGTTAGGAAACTGCACTCACAAAATGGAGGAAGCAAAGATCTGAACAGTGCTGTAAAGTTGGATTCTAATCCCTTTGTAAAACCATTTAACCTACAGAGGAACTAGTTAAGCCACTTGTCAGAAACCAGTGACACTTACTGGTACTTACTGGTGGTATTTTGGCATCGATTAAGAATTTTATTTGAAACAATTTTTTTGCAGTTGGCAAGAATCACCCCCACATAAATCATTGGCATCATTGACTTTACTTAAAGTCAAACTGATCAATTTAAACTGTACTTTTCCAGTTCTTTGGCTGTAACGATTCAGCCTAGTTCACTTTTTGGGGGCATGGGTGCCAACTCCATTTAAAACCCTTATAGCAGTTTTCTTCCCTCTTCTCCCACACCAGCAGCTCTGGGCCTTTTTATGGTGCTAGTAAATTGTGGGTGACATTGGGAAATCAAGGGTGTGGCAGTGAAATAACTGCTGGCTACCAAAGTCCCCTCCTTTAAAAATGAATGAAAATGAGCCGGGGAGGCGGGGGTGGGAGAGAGGAATAGCGCAACTCACACCAAAGAATAAGCTTTGAAACATTCTCCCAGATACTTTGGAGGAAGAAATTCCACTCATATACAGACTTTTGGAGGTTGTGGGTGGTTGGAGGGAGATTTATCATAACTGAACCCAATCTGTTCTGACTGGGCAACCACATCTCAGGTTAGCTTCTCTGGATAACAATCAGGAGAACAGAAAAATCTAGCAGATTTCCTCTTCCCAACCTGAAGTTACTGAGGCCAATTATAATTCCCCAACTGCCGCCACAGCGCAAGACTAGACAGACCCAAGTCTGTTTGGCTCAGCTATATTCCGGATTGTGAATTTACTATAAGAATCAAATTCAATGATTCCAATTATGTAAAGATTCGAATGGGTATGATTGCTGCATTTGTCAATGTTGAACTGTCTTTTGATCCAAATTTTATTGTGAGCAAAGTTTTTGAAATTGCACATTGTGCTAAGCTGCAAAGTAATATTAACGGCACTGTGTGGTCATTGGAGCTCCAGAAATAGCAGCTGTTGCAAAGTGAATTTACCCTTGTAGCTAATTTAAAGGGGATTTGGGCAAGGAGGTTATCCCTGGCAGTTCCAGAAACTCAGTCAGCCAGGAATTTCCCCTTGAATGAAACCTATTTTCTAACCAGGTATCAACTATAAAGATAGAAGTTGAGTGGCAAATTCAGATACAGTCAAATCATTTAAGCAATTATTGTGCTCAATACATAAATGTGTTGATGTGGGCTAAATGCCCATAAGTAACCAAATCTTTCTGCACTTATGAATAATGATGGAATTTGTAAGACCAATTTCCTTTTGCATTTACATTATATTGATAATTTAAAATTGCATCACATTTATTTGTACATGCACAAGTAAAACTTACTGAATGACCCAAGATAGCTTTTAACCCACAACAACTAATTCACTATGAAGAGTGCACTGAGCAGAATAATCCCCTAAACTTTGGTGCTGGTTGATTAGATTGTGGTTTCCGAAGTAATAGTTAGTAAATCTATCAGTGAAAAGATTAAAGAGGGAATATAGTCACTTTTGTTATTAAAAAATTGTTATTAATAGATATGAGCAGGTCCTAAAAATGCATTCATATTGGACAATTCAAATACAATTAGGTCATCAAAGCTAGCCTATCAGAGTAGATAAATAGATAATAACCTGACTGTTATTGGTTTAGTTGGAAGAATAAGTAAATAAGTTCGCAAACAGAAATTAACTGCTGGTCACTATTTTCCAGGCAACAAGCATTTTATTGCCTGATTAATTTTAAATGTTGTCTCTGGGGAAAAAAAATATCGTCATTTCTGCTCTTTACCACAATCTGGTAAAGATGGTCTTTCTTACAAAGACTTCTTGTTAATTGGCGACTTCACTCAAAGAAGTTGGAATTGGAAGTGGAAAAATTCAGACTGGTGAAGCAGGTCTTGGGTCAAATAAAGAGCAAGCTCCTTTTATCGTTCTTCAATGATTCACCTTAACATGACCTCTAGATTGAAATGGAAGGAGGAAAGAGAGAGCCAAAATAATGAAATGAGAAAGGCTTCAAGAGAGGAAAGGAAAGGGTGGAGAGGGGCAACAGAAGTAAGATATAGAAGGGAGGGAGGAAATAAGCCAGAGAGGAAGAGAGGCAAAAACAAGAATGGAGAAAGGGGACTTTCTCAAGAATAACAAAACGATTCTTATACAAATGTTGAGAACTGATGTGAGATGGATAAGGTAGATAAGTCATGCCAATGCAGGTTTGTTTCTACACTGGTACTCACCTGTGTCTGTATTAATGTCTGGTAATTTCTATGTCGATTCAATGTTTGTACATTCACTATACCAGTCACTGCTTGCTTTTCTACCAGTGCTAAGTTATTTCCTTTCTCTGCAGCCTACGTTCAAGCATGTCGTGCCCTGATGATCATTTCTATTATTTTGGGAGTTTTGGGCACTCTGATGGCTTTGTTCGGGCTGAAATGTACCAACATTGGGGCAACGGACGAGACTAAAAAAGGAAAGATTGCCCTGTCTGGTGGGCTTGTCTACGTTTTTGCAGGTTAGTAAAAACTAATAATAATAGTGATTTTGAAGCTGGAAGACCAGTTGGTCAAAACCTACTACAACAACAACTTGCATTTATATAGCACCCTCCACGTAGCATCTCAGAGCGCTAACCTAAATGGTTATAATCCTAACTAATCAGAATATCAACTCCAAGAGCAGAAATCTACTGTACGCTTGCAAATTGCTTCATTAACAGATGTGACTGATCCTGAATCAGAATAGATTGTGGAAGTGACCAAGCCATTCCAAGAATTTTAGCAAAGAATCTCAAGATGTTAATAACACAAGTACCTTGAGAGCAAGAATCCTAATTGGTTTCTCTCCCCACCCCCCCGTAGTACAGGAGTTTTGAGGTCAAGTGTAGCACCCGATTGCTGCCTGGCTGAGATCAGACCAGAGATTAAATGTGGGATTTTCCTGATCTCTACTGGACAAAGAATTGATACCGGCTGAGCAGAGCAGACATTTCACTATCTCAACTAGTTTTGGTGATATCTCCAATTGGTTTTATAAAATGACAGGTACAATCAATGAGTCACTACTCAACTCAGAGTTTACATAAAATTTATATGCTTTAATTATTTTGCTTGACAGGTGTTTGTTGTTTAGTACCAATTTCCTGGTACGCCTTCAATGTCACTCAAGATTTCTACAACCCCATCTACGCTGGGACCAGGTATGTTTGGCGGATTCAATGAACAAGGTTAAAGGAATCTCAGTGGATACATTCCTTTTAGAAATAAATCAATTTATAGAGATTTATGATAAACTTCAAAATATTTTTGTCTTTCCTCAACCTAGTCTATTAAAGAAGACTTTGGTTTAAATGATAAGTATTGTGATGTTATGCTTAACAGTGTTAGGAACTGAAATAGCATACTAGATGCTCTAGAAATGGTACATTTACTGAGAACATTGATTATAATGAACTTGGTAATCCCACCAAGACAATATTTTGTCATGTTGCATGTATTTACTGTTTAAGCAATGATGGAGGCCAATTCGTGGGATCTGTAAAAGGATTCACAAATATCAATATCTTGCACATACTTGAGTGCGTCTCACAGTGACTCACTGGACCTTTGCTCAAGTACTCATCTTGACTGAGGGTAGCCTTTGACCAATGGAAATAAAAAATCCGAATGGTATCCAAGCAGAGTTCTTGTACATTAGCAAGAGGCACATCAGATACATGAAGAAAGTGATGTTTTTGAATCCTTTCACAAATCTTTCAAATTGATGGGGTCTCTGAGTGCTGCTGAGCTAGAGAGACCAGGAAGGTTTTGGGTTTGATGTCTTTGATGCCTGGATTTGGGGCTATCTATACTGATAGGGTTGCTGTAACTGACCTCAATGTTCTGGGCTAGGGAAGGGAACACTCAATCATAGTTCATTATCCTTGTCTTCTGCTAGAAAGTGCCCAAATAACGTGGACTTTAATGAAGACAAGGTATGGTTTGCTGCCACCTTGCTCATGAAACTGGCTCCCAAAATGAGAAAGCGCCTTTACGAGAGTAGGAAGAAAACGTTTGGGAAAATAAAGTGGATAAAGTACTGTTGTATTTAGAGTGAGTACCATTGGGATAGAATATATTACACTTCTAACAGGTGGCACCCTGGAGAAATGATGATTGATCCTGCAAAAAATGTCCTTGATCATTTTATCTTTTAGAAAAGGTGTGGCTTCCAACCCAGAACCGAGGGTGATAAAGCAAACTGTCTCTACATACCTGCTCTTTTACAACTACATAATGTGCTCTTTGCTGTATCCGTCAACTGTTTATTGGTTGGCAGTTTTATCAATTACCAAAAGTGAGGAAAGAATTTCATATTTTGTCTTTAGAGATTAGATTACTGATAGTTAAACTAAGAATATTCCGTCAGCAATTTGGCAAGATGAAATACACAATGCCTCAATTAATAAAGGGTCCAAAGGTTACCTTTTAGTTCTGCGCGTGATGCTAACTGGTAATTGCATTCAAAAATGATTTGCTGATCAATTTATTGCTTCTTCAGGTATGAGTTAGGATCTGCTCTCTACATTGGATGGGCAGGAGCAAGTCTGCTCATCCTTGGTGGCTCATTCTTGTGTTGCTCTTGCAAAAGGAATCCAAAGTAAGTTATATTTTGGCCTTTATCAATTATGTATCTCTTTCATGCTTACTTGGTGTGACCAATCTGATTTCAGCATGTTGTTTAGTGAGGAAAGACACCCCGATTAGATTAGAATCACCTATGTAACAGAGTTGAAATATCCAGATTCCAGGCTCAGGGGTACTTGGTGGCAATAGCCATTCATTTCTGGAACTCTGATTGAATCCAACCATATCACGTGAAAGTTCTCTCAAATAGATGATCACTCCATTTCACTATACCCTGTGAAGTGCTTTGGGACCTCCTCCCAACATGGAAAACACTATAACTATAACTATGCAAGGGTTATTATTATTAATTATTAAGAAGTTATCTTTCCTTGCCGTATTCCTTTTGGTGGGGGTGGGCAGTGGATAGGGGGGAAACAGAAAAAGTAGCAATATAAAAATGGTACACTCCAAAACCAAATAAGAGGATAAAATTCAATGATAGGTTATTTGAATTAAATTGTGCCTTTTTATCCAAGTAATAACAATGTTGATATTATTCTCCACAGAGGCTACAAATATTCTGCTCCCAAGAGTGGTCAACGGATCTACACAAAGTCGGAAACATCTCAATCAAAGGCCTACGTCTAAACCAAGAAGTCAACAAAAATTTTTACCTTTTATGTTACTCAGATCTCAGAAACTCTTATAGAAAAAACATTTGTATTTTGTCAAAATCATATAGCACTCTGTGAAGCATTTAAATACGTAGACTAGATTTCCATTTGGCAGTACTGAATATTTTGCATGTTCTATCAATGACAATGCCAGACTTTTTCCTTTTTAAAGCTATTAAAATAATCATGGCCTAGTAGACTCAGTAGTTTTGGACTCCCAAGTCCAGAAAGTTTTGCGTGTTTAAATCGTATATCTTTTTAATATCTCATGCCAGAATATCTCTGGATAGAGTATATAGTTTCAGACTTGAAATGTGCATGCAACTGCCAGGATAGTGGAAGGCGAACTGTGGGACCTTTGTCTGTTTTCGCCTTGCAACTTCTTATGTTCTTGTGAATACAAAACAGCCAGAGCGATTTTGTGGTAATTCGCTGCAAAGTTCTCAAAGAAGCTAACCTGCAACTGAGAAACTGTAGCCTTTATCTCCTCCAGCTATGCTTTCAATTAAATTTGTTATATGTGATTTACTTACTTTTTTTTCCCTACACATATGCTCTTTCCTGAGTTTTGCATGGATCACAGTACTGACCTCATTTTGTAGTCTTTTTGTATGTGGGTAGTTTTATTTGCTTTCATTAGCAAAAAAAAATTGTAGATCTGTAAATGCTTCAATTAACTCTAACATTCTTGCTGAATTTGTAAGATACATAATAAAATTTTTAAAACTATATGTTCCTGTCTTTTTATGCTACTACTACTACTAATAATAATCCTTGCATTTGATATAGCGCTTTTCACGTCGGGAGGACGTCCCAAAGCGCTTCACAGAACACACTGTAAAGTGAATTGACTGTATATTTGTGGGCGAACGCGGCAGCCAATTGCGCACAGCAATGTCCCACAAACAGTCATATGGATTGAAAATGACCAATTTATTATTGTTTTTTGTTTTTTTTGGAGGGATTATTATTAGGTGTGTGGAGTAAGGAAACTTGCCCAAGGTTTCGCCCTCTGCCTGGAATTGAACTCAGGTCTCTCACTTGCAAAGCGAGTGCTCTAACCACTGAGCTACAGGACTCCTTAAAGTTACTAAGTTATCTTATAATACCTGTTCTTGCCTGCTTCCCTCCCTCCTCCAGGAAGCTAGTACTAATACCTAACCCTAGTAATAATAATAATCCTTGTATTTGATATAGCGCCTAATCATGTCTTCGAGACGTCTCAAAGCGCTTCACATAATATACTGTAAAGTGAATTGTTTGTATTTTTGTGGGCGAAACACAGCAGGCCAATAGCACACAGCAATGTCCCACAAACAGTCGTGGATAACAGTGATAGATAACAATTCCTATGTTCGTGAAAAAGGGTGGGCAGTAAATTAAGATTCTGTGCAGATGCATTTTCACAATTCACATAATGTCCCTTTAAAGTATTGAGCTCCATAACTAATGCACCTTTGTCTTGACCACTAGGCTCCAAATATTTCCATTTCTTATGGAAGGTTTACCAAAGTGCGTCAGTTTTCAGCTTTGAAATACTGTCACTGGAGTAGCATAATCTTACCCTCATGATGCACTCAGAGCCTATTTTGTTCCATTTATGACCAGGCAGAAATTCATTAGCTAATCTGCAATATGTCAAACCTGAAGCATTAATTTATATTTTACAGGGTAGGTTTTCCGGTACTCTCAAAAAGCAAAAGAAACAATTCATATCATGCTTGCCATTAACTATCCATTTAACAGTAAATCTATAGCTTGTTCTGCAATAAATTTAAAAAACTGTATGAAGATCGCTGAGCACACTCTCGTACTTTGCATTAGAATACTTATAATGTTCTAATGTTTTTATTTTCATCTGGTTCTTAGATAATAACTTGGTCCAATTGGATGTTACAATGGGGATCAAAAGAGTAAAGGTTGTAACGTATAGTTCTTTTCCAAGCCAACTCAGATATGTTGCGACATGTGCATTACACCATCTATCTCAGTTCTATTCTCTTATCTCACAACCTCTTTGAACTCCTTACTGTTGCAATCAATTGGCTTTGTGGCTTGTCACAAAACATGGAATAGAGCATAACTAAAATGAATGGATATATCTATCAGGAACCATTGCATGTTGCTGACAATTTAACAGGGCGGTAAATCAACAGAAATCTGTTATTTCGCTCTCACCTCAGGAGGTCAACTGTCCTTTTAGACAATCTTCAGCATTTCGAGCAACCTTATTCTGTCACAGAATTTTTTTTTCGCCATTTGTTTTTATGTTAACACCAGCGAGAATTCTGTTCTAATTACATCAGGGATTTACTTTGCTCTTTCAGACAGCTAGATGTGGAACTGCTGGTAGCATTGCGTCTCCAAATTAGGCTACTCATCAGGGAAAGTGGCACCTGAAGCAAAGGGTGTAAAAAAAATGGAAAAATAATGTAGTTATCTAAAGGGACAAACAAATAGGTCCAATTCCAGGTAGTGTGTTGAAATTGGACAAATCGTTATACAGCACAGACTATGTTGTCTTGATTACAAAATGTAATGCAAATATTATAAAGGTGCTGGAACACCAGATTTGGTACATTAAGTGTAACTTCTGGTTTAAGATTATTGGATTGTGAGATTCAAAGAAGGCAACTCACCAATTCCAAAACACTGCCAGTGAGCAAAGCATTTCGATTTGCTATTTAAACATACATATCCTTATTTACTCGCATTCATATATCATGGTATAGATTGTCATTTCCCTTATTTTCAATCTGTCACTTTCACTTGGTTCTGTGAAATGTGAGGGGGACGCTGAGAGAGCTATCCATTTGTATTTTACTATTATTATTCTCAATCTGAAGCAAAATTAAGATAAAACAACAACACCAAAATTGCATTTGTATAGCGCCTTTCACATCGGGAGGACATCCCAAGGCGCTGGACAATCAGTGTTTCGGACCCAAGCTGGGGGTCGGGATCGGGGAGGGTTGAGTGCGGGGGGGGAAGGAGGATGATCGAAGGCACGGTCGAAGAGGAGGGTCTCGAAGGATGCAAGGGAGAGGCAAGGTGGAGCGACTGCGGGATGGAGTTTCAGAGAGTGGGGGAAGAGTGGCTGAATGTCCGTCCAGCAATGGTGGGGCAGGCGAGGCAGGGCGTAAAGCAGGCCGTAGCCTGCTGAGCAGAGGGTGCAGGCAGATTTGTAGGAGGTTAGGAGGTCACAGAGATAGGTGGGAGCAAGGCCGTGAAGAGCTTTGAAGGTGAAGACCAGGATCTTGAACTATATCTTGTGTAATGGGAAGCCAGTGGAGTTGGCCGCGATGGGGGTGATCGGGTCACGGAGCCTGGTGCGGGAGAGGACAGGATCCAAAATACACTGTAATATAACTATACCATAGTAACGTTCTTCAGGAGTAATAAGAACTAATGATAAACAATGTATTGTGATAATCTACAGCAGTGACTTCCAAAACATTTTGTGATATTAGCAAAAGGAAATTTCAAGGCTTTAATCTGCAGTGAACTCAGTATTGACCTTACTTGACAGCCTGATTTGCGTCATTGCTCAGTTACCCTGTGCAGAGAAACTAACTAAGTTATGTCAACTGAGTAACAGCTGGACATAAATTCCAGGCTCTGCTTCAGGTTCATTAATTTTTGAAGGAAATGTCTTTAAAGGGGAATTCCTTTATATAGGCTGGCAAAATTGGCACTTGGAATTTTAAAACAGAACCTGGTTCATTCATACCGGACCACCAAATAGCTAAAGGTTTTAGGCAAATATATTAACATCAAAAATTCTAGGTCTTCCTGGGTGCTATCAGCAATGACTGGGATCTAAACCTACATAGACACAAAGTTACTGTAATCTCTAATTTGCTACAGTAATAAAGAGCAACATAAACTGTTTATCAAAGATGCTTGTAAATGAGGCATTGCTATTAATTGCTATTAATGCAAGTTAAAGTGTGCAAAGCTATCCTGTCTTGAGCTGAGCATAAATGGAAACAACACAGCCCGAACTGGCAATCAATTACCTTGAAACAGCGACGAGCAGGATCTAGGTGACTTTCATTCTCTTCTTTTTGAGCTGTCCCTATACCCAAAGCAGCAACGGAAACACTTTACTTCAGTCAGAGAGTTATTTGCTCTTTTTTAATTTGTAAAAAGGAATACAAATATGCATTAACATTGACATATAGCCAGTTACCTTTGTGTTTGCATATATTGGCATTTACCACTTGTGTAGACAGGGTTAGATCAAGCTGCGTGACATTATATATGAGAGGATTGTGGCAGGTTACTGGCTGTGTCTCTGTCGGGAAAGTGATTGATCAGACCTAGTGAGTGGATCATTCCCCATTGTGAGATGGGAGGAATGTTGCTCTCTACAGCTGCCCTGATTTTATTGAGGATTTTCAAGGGCTAATGCAAATTTCCTATGTGCGACTGTTACATATCCAAGAGTGAAGAGGATAGGAATCAGTGAGCGCATTCATACACAAATGGATCATCAAGACGTTCAATTGGACCAACATGGTGCCAGCCTTGCATTATATTGTGTTGTGAACTTGATTGGTTTATAACCTTTACCTGAGTTTTATATAGTGGTTAAAGCTAAATAAGCATGAGGTGCTGCTAAGACAACTTTTTACCACTGTTGTAAACGTGCAACGCAATAAAATTGGTATCCAAATAACTCATTGTGCCACCTGCCACACAACATCATTCTGGCACATCACAAGCTTTCCATTCCCATAGCATAGTAATTTTCCTTAATCGCACATATATACTGGCACAGGGACATAAACCCTTATGTACCAGATGCACTCATACTTGAACCATCAGTCCTTTTCTTAGAGTGAGGTACTGCAATCCACCAGAACAGCAATTTGGAAAGCCCTTTAAATGCAAATTTCAAGTCAGTGTTTGGAATGACATCCTGCCTGAAGCAAATGGCCATCAGGTGAGGATTTAGCTTCTATCTGCCTGGTTCGAAGTTCTTCTTCATATCTTTGAAGCTGAGCCCAGAAACCTTCATTGGGCTCCACAACTGGCCTGGCTGACTTCACAGTCTGTGAAAATAAATATTTGGAGCAGATTTAAAACAGGTTGGTCAACAATAAAGCTACCAAACTATCTAGGTAACATACACTTCCACATCCAAAGAATGTTCAGAGTAGATTGTGCACTGGTGAGCTGTGAATTTTAGGTGATTCATTTCCAGCTTTGAAAAAAGTACAACATTTAACGTTTACAGACAGAGCTCTTTCATGCTCAGAAATTGCAACTACTTTTCACCCGTAAATCTTCCCCAAAGTCAGAAAGCAACCTTGCTAACTTATGTGTATTCTGAGCTCTGTCATCGATAAAGATTGCTAGCCACCTGAGACAGCAGAAGGCCTTTTCTGCCTCTGGTCAAAGGAAGGAAATAATCTCTGGTCACAGCAGCCAGTGCTTGTGGAGGGAGTGCTGCATCTCAGTTACTTGCAGAACTGCCAAATGCAGCAGGATAGCAATATAAATTTCAGGGTCAAATACAACTCTTAACCTGCTATCTGTACCGATGCTAAACCATCTCTAAATAAAGTTCTAAAAATCTATTCTACTCTGGATTAAATCATCCCCCAAAATGTAAACCCTGCCACAGCTCAAAATCACGAAAATACAAGCGATAGAAAGTAAATAAAAATGTTGAGCTTTACGATTCTTTGAAACAATGTGATTTTCAAATAGGTCTGACTGATGAGCTTCCCTTTGTAAAGGCAATGCATAATTCCAAAGGTCAGATTTCAAAGGCATTCAGTGAAGCATATTATCATTTGATTCATCGAGTTCTCCAAAAGTGATCAACACTGAAACGTTAAAGTGCAGCTGATCATTATCATTCACAGCAGTGAAGTGCACAAAGTAAAAGAATTTCTACTTCTACACACTGGAGATTGAAAAGGGCAATCATTGAAGATTTGAAATAAAAGCAGTTGGTACTGAAAATAGACAGAGAGTCGGTCGAATGCCAACTAAAAAAAGAAAAATGGGTTAACATTTTGGGTTAGACACTTCAATAAAAGAACCTTTTATCTGTCCTGCCTTGTCTCGGTTAGTCTTTTGTGAGCCATTGTGCACTTTGTTGCAGAGTCTGCACACTCCTTAAAGGGAAATGAGTGCACAAACATTTTTTCCCCCTTCACTTTAGAAAGTGGGGTGTGGTAAAAGACCTAGGAGTTATTTCATAGCGGTTTCGGTGACATCTCGTGCAGTAAATATTCTTGCGGCCCAATTTATGCTGTGAAGTCGTGTGATCGCACAGACAAAATGAAGATTTGCCAAACCTTTTCTTTTCCGGAACGATATTGCCCGTTTAACTAAAGATGAGCGCGTGCAGTGAAGAATGCACTGTAACAACAACAACAACAAATTACATCTGTATAGCTCCTTTCAGGTCGGGAGGACGTCCCAAGGTGCTGAACAGTCAGGGAGATGGACCCGCCACAATCCATCCATTAAGAGCGCTGAGCTGACCCAAACAAGACGGGCAAACACCATATGGAGAGTGCAGTCTGGTTTCAGTTCACTCACCTCAAATGCCTCTTGGAGAGAGAGGTGCTTGTGTTTCAAGAGATAAGCTATGCAGATTGAAGCAGATCTGCTTCGTCCGTTTTTGCAGTACACCAGGCACTTGCCACCTGTTTGCTCAGTGTCTTTGATCACTTGTGCACATCTGTCAAAGTACTTGTAGAGATTCTCAGCTGGGTCATCAAAAACAGGGACCCTGAGGATCCCAATCCTCAGCCCAGGAAAGGGCTGCTGCTTGGAAACATTGATGCAAAAAGTCACCCCTTCTTTGGAGAGCATCTCACTGTTGCAAGCTGATCTGGAGTTACTGATCAGCAGAGAGTCTGTGATCTTGGACAACTGAAGCATTTGGGAAAAAAAATGCAAAAGGCACACAAGAAAAGCAAAGTCAAGGCAAGTTGGAGATCAAAGGCTTTAGTGCTAAGACTTTAGCCACTGCTGCAGACACCATGAGTCAAACCCAGGAATGGTCCATCTCGGTTCAAGTGGCATCCAGGACCTGCTGCAGGAACACAACTGAACCGATCTGCTGTTTCATCCACTAGTAATCGAACTGTTTCATGGCCTGTGTTGTGCCACCAGTGATGTGTGAGTCTGTGTGTGCTCGAAACTTGGCTGCTGTATTTACAGCACAGTCATACCATACCTCCTGTGGATTCCTCCAGGTCCTAGTGCCACAATTGCTCAACAGTCCAAATTGCACAGCAACATTTTGTCCTAAAATACTGTCCTTGTTTCCCCTCCACCCAACCCCCACCTCTTTGATTTTCTGCTTAGACATTCAGGATTAGAACGCGCCCTCATTCAACGTTTTCACGTACTGTAAGAAGTCAAGAAAGCGTGGGTTGAGAAGCTGCTCATTTCATGTCTTTTTCCGTTGACCACACGCAAGCTCTCGAGCGCAGGATCCCCTTCAAACGTTTGGAGAAACCCGGTTCAAATACAAATACTGATTCCTAACACACACAAAAACCCTCCAGAAAAACGTCCTCAATGATCCCATCTATTCACTCTTCAATTCCGGGCTGCTACTTCCACACACAAAGCCAATTAACACACAACTTCCAGGTCCAACAACACAAATTTATCGGATTATTTGTTCACCAAAGCCTACTATTATGATCTCCATTCCTGCTTCACTCCAGATACTTAACCATTATTGCATTAGTGTCAGTGTTATTGCCTGCAATGACAGTAAAAATCCTTCTGAAGCGCTTTGAGACGTTTCGACAATATGCCAGTGTCCTGGCCAACAATCCTTCCGTTACATTGGTTTTTCACATTATGGCTGAATGTGATAGATTGTGTGCACAAATACAATGTACCATCATTATATTTTACAGCAATTGCCTGTGAAGTGTTTCAAGAGGCTTGATGTTATAGGCACTCTATCAAATACAAGGATTATTTTATTTATTTCCACCATATCATCCCTCAAGCTTCTCTGCTTCAAAGGAATAGCCCAACCTCTCCAGCCTCTCCTTATTCTCCCATCCTCTACATAGTTCAAACACGTGTTCTACAGAACAGTACTCAAGAATGCTTACAATGTTGCAGCTATAGATTGACTGGTATCTTACAAAGTTAAACCATAGCTTCCTTATTTTTTAATTCAAATGCTTTGTATATAAAACACGGAATCATGTTTGATCCTTTTATAACAACCTATACATCTCTATTCTTAGATACCTCTCTTCCTCCATTCCATTGTGAGTTTTACCAATTTCCATTCTTTATTCTTTTTCCTAAAATGTACCACTTCACATTTTTCTGAATTGAATTCTATTTTCCTCGAATGCTATACTACATGTTCCACATTTGACTATTCTGTCAATATCTGCTCATAGCCTTCTGTACTATTTGTCATTGTTAATAACAGCTCCAAATTTAATATCCTTTGCAACTGTGTAATTTCACTTGTAATCACTTTGTATCCTTTCAAAGAGACTGAACTGATTAGTGCAACCATGCATCCCTTACTATGCAGAAAAGTAATTTTAGATATCTCATAATAACAGGTGCCAAGAGACATCGTGTACAGCTGAATAAATGTGCAAAACAAAACCTGTCAGAGAGACTGAAACAGATGAGCATTAATGTGTTTTCCCCAACGCTGCGAATTGTACATTTTCAATCTGCTTTGTCTCTCTCCGGAGATTTGATACCTCCACTCCCATTGATCTCCCCTCAGTCTCTGTTGTGCAGAAGCAAACAGGGTTGTAACTGAGCCATTCTGAAGAGTGAAGAGGCCATAGAATGAAGAGTGAAGACTCCGCCACTGTGAAGTGCTCTGGGACGCTACCCGCGTGAAGGGCGCTTTATAAATGCAAGTTGTTGTTGTTGTTGAAGAGGCCATAGAATAGGTCTATCTGTCATCCCTTGACCACAGAACAGTGAAACAAGAAAGGAGGTAAAACTCAGGAAAATTAAAGTCGGGAAGAAAAGATGCTCAAAGAAAATCAGCATTAACTTACGCTGGGTACGGAGAAAAGATTATTTTTTAAATCGCCATTTTTTTCTCTGTCAATCTATCACAGTGGTCCTGTGCACCCAGACTTTTTGCAGCACTTCTGACCTTCAACAGACCTGCTGCTCTATTTGTTTTGTAGCCTGATCTTGCCCACATTGGGTAGAAATCTACATAGCCTGAGGCAATCCACAGTTTGCCATCACTTAGCCCTAAAATGAAATGCTTGCTCTGAGAAATTCATAACAGCACAACAGAGAAGCCTATCTGAGTTTGAGCCTTCACCGCCTCTTTAAACCTTTATGCTATTGGGTGCTGTGGTTGGGTTGACTCTACGTTTAATCTGCACTATATCTTACTTGGAAGCACATGGTGCTGATGCAGAGTAAAAAGCAGCAGAATGTTTTTCTTTGTTGCCCGTAGTGTTTCTGTTATTTTATTAATTGTGCAGTAGACTTCATGCTTCAACCCTGCTGGAAATTGCACTCTCACTCTCTGCGCTGGAAAGTAAAAAACAACCCCATAAATAATCAATATCTGGTGGTGATTGCAAGGCAGCAATCTAATAATGGATTTAGCTGCTAATATAAAGGGTGAGCGCAAAGTTTGAGTAGGCCTGAGCCCCAGGTAAGCATTAAGGTTAGATTACAACCACAGGATCAATCATTGGCATCTCATTGTTTGCACTAAGTGAAATGTAAGCGTACATGAAGGACAAACACCACTCTATTTTATCAATCTTCAGGCTTAGTGGCAGCTGCTAATGTAGACTGCAGCTCATTCAGAAGCATTAACAATTATTGTAGGTTTAAAGATAAATAAAAAATACCCTCTCCATGGCCATCTTTACAAACTATAGTCACATTAAGTACATACCTATCACCAGTTAAAAAAAATAACAATACTGTCTCAGAGACTTATTGACTTACAATAATGGGGGTGTTTCCCCAAGTAAGTTGAAGGCCAGGTAAACAGAGTGCATCCCTCCAGGGAGTGTTTCCATTCCATGTCAGACACAGAGAAATTTCGATGTGTAGGTATACTACATATGAGGAAATCTGATTTGTATACTTTTGAACATTATGATGGGTTTCACCACATATCAGACATCTGCCGAACCAAAATAAAGATCGAAAGAAGTTATACTAACTTTGTTTAGATCACTTTTCAGTAAAACATTTGAAAGCTGCAGGCAGATTTGGCCACCCTACAGTCAAAAGTGCATCGAAGCCTTGGCTAAAGCTACAACAACAGCACTGCTGGATTTATGTTTAAAAATAAAAGATCTTAAGCAGGACAGGAGATCAGATATCGATTTCTGTCAATTAAAGTCATGTGACTATTTTGTAGGCAAACTCCTTCTTAGTCCTCCTTTGAAGGCAAATATCTTCACAAAAGAGCAAGATAACTGTCTGTTTGAGATCAATTTTAGAGACCCCAGTTTTGGAATACATTCTGTCAGAAATTAGCGAATACTCCACAGAATATAATGGTTTCTGTATGGTTGGGCCCAGAGGAAGGGGTCATTGGGAATACTGTCTGTGGAGAGATTAAGTTAGAGTTTAGTAGTGGAAATGGATGAGTCTTCGGGAGTGTTTGTCTGACTGCCTTTGGTGTTCAGGAAGCATCTAGTCAGTGTTTTTGGCTGGTGGGTGGGTGGGATGGGTACGGATGATAAGCTATTTTGTGGACTTGATGGGTCAAATAGCCTTTTTCATTCCAAACTTTCTTAAACTGAGTTGATCCAATTCTTTAGAATACATTATATGTAAGGTTGAATCTATAGCAATGAACTATCATCCGTCTGAACCAATAGCCTGACGCACAAAGATTGGAAAGTGGGAGCCTGGAGGGCGGAAGGACCCAGGACTCCTACCCTAAGGAGTGCCAATCTTCTGAAATACAACCTGTCCCCATTCCATTGCTATAATTAAAGCAGGACTCTGGGAGATATTTTTAGAAATCACCAATTAGGGAGGTTTTCCAGAAAGGACTCATGACAGCCAGGCTAACAGTGTGTATCTTAGCAATACAGAATGTTTAATCTTATTATTTAAGAGCTAAATGCCCTGTAGGGTCAGAATGTGCAACATTATTAAGTACATTACTGTTGAACAAGAGATTGCGTTAAAAAGACCAATGTGGTTACATAATTAATGGGAGCTGCAAAAACCCATTGTTATTGTAAACCCATGAGTTAATTGTATCTATGGGGAACTTTACTGCAACTGTTTTATTCAAGGTATGGTCTACGCAAACTAGTTTACCTATGACCCTCAGAGGCCTTGATGCTCCATTTGTCTTTGGGGTTTACGTTTTCTCTGATATACAATAAAGCTAGAATCCAGCATTGCGTGTTCTCTCTCTCTCTCTCTCTTGACTTGGAAAGGAGGTATAGGTTTTATAAGAGTCACACCTCCGTCACATTCTTCTGTCAATCAAGGACAAGATAACCTGCTCATCTTGCTATGCTTAGCCAAGACCAGGAAAGATGAATGCGATCCCTTGCCTCAGACGCCGCCCGTTTGATCCTGAAGAAGCAGCTCTGTGATTTTGGACCGTCGAGGATGTGCACCCCATCTGTGGGTTGGGACCAGGACGGCAGGGAGGGTAGGGGTGGGAGGGTGATCCAAGGCGCGGTTGAAGAGGAAGGTCTTGAGACGGGCCTTGAAGGAAAGGAGGGATCGAGGCACAGGGACCGTGGGATGGAGTTCCAAAGGGTGAAGAACCTCAGAACTCAGGACATGATTGTGCCCATCGCCGTGTAATCGTTTCGGATGAAGTGAAAGGTGAGAACATCAGATGTTCGCCAATTGGAGTCGAAAATGACTGAGATCACTGCAGACTGGGGGGGGGGGGGGGGGGTGTGGGGGGGGGGTGAGTGGAGTGTGGGGGGGGGGTGGGGAGTGGGGGGTGTGGGGTGGGGGGTGAGTGGGGTGGGGGGGGGGGGAGTGGGGTGAGTGGGGTGTGGGGGGGGGGTGGGGTTGGGGGGGTGGGGGTTGGGGTGAGTGGGGTGTGGTGGGGGTTGAGTGGGGTGGGGGGGGGGTGGGGGTTGGGGGGGTGGGGGTGGGGTGAGTGGGGTGTGGGGGGGGGTGGGGGTTGGGGGGTGAGTGGGGTGTGGGGGGGGTGGGGGGGGTGGGGTGTGGGGGGGGGGTGAGTGGGGTGTGGGGGGGGTGGGGGGGTGGGGTGTGGGGTTGGGGGGGTGAGTGGGGTGTGGGGGGGGTGTGGGGTGGGGGGGGGGGGGGGGGGGGGGTGGGGGGGTGAGTGGGGTGTGGGGGGGGGTGGGGGAGTGGGGTGGGGGGGGGGGGGGGTGGAGGTGTGTGGGGTGTGGGGGGGGGGGGGGGGGGGGGTGGGGGTTGGGGGGGTGAGTGGGGTGTGGGGGGGGGGGGGGGGGGGTGGGGGGGGGGGGGGGGGGGGGGGGGGGGGGGGGGGTGGGGGGGGGGGGGGGGGGGGGGGGGGGTGGGGGGGGGGGGTGGTGGGGGGGGGGGTGTGGGGGGGGGGGGGTGGGGTTGGGGGGGTGGGGTTGGGGGGTGAGTGGGGTGTGGGGGGGGTTGATTCTGGGCATTGCTGGGGGGGGGTTGTGCAATGGATTATAGCGTCAGTTGCCCTGACAACACGGCATTTGTTTGTGTGGGTAACCGGGAGCCGCGGAGAGAGGAACCCAAACCAGGAAACGATCGTCAGATCAGAGCCCAGAAGCCGAATCCCGGACACTGAGCGTCTGCACCGCTGATCGAACCCTCGACACACATTTACTGATCACATTGATTTTTGAACTTGAATCGATACCCCGAGATATAGGATTCCCCTTTTCCCCACTTTCCCCCCAGACACAGACACACAGACAGACAGACACATAGACACACAGACAGACAGACACACAGACAGACTCATAGACACACAGACACACAGACAGACAGACAGACAGACACAAACACAGACACACAGACAGACAGACACACAGACAGACAGACACACAGACAGACACATACACAGACAGACAGACAGACACACAGACAGACACATAGACACACAGACAGACAGACACACAGACACACAGACATACAGACATACAGACAGACACATAGACACACAGACAGACAGACAGACAGACAGACAGACACACAGACACACAGACAGACAGACACACAGACAGACAGACAGACACATAGACACACAGACAGACAGACACACAGACAGACACACAGACAGACACATAGACACACAGACACAGACACACAGACAGACACATAGACACACAAACAACACATAGACAGACACACAGACAGCCAAACCAAGGTGCACTTTTCCTCTTGTGCAAACCCCCCCCCAAAAAAAAACCCCATGTGAAATCACTTCTTTTCGAAGCGTTTTCTCTCTCTCCGATTGATGTAGGAATCGGGAAGAACTCCGGTCGCTATGACATTGCCGAGTGTTGAGCAGCGACTCGAGGACACAGCCCCAGGAGGAGAGCTGAACCCTGAAACCCGGGATCGGGGCATTGCAGATGGCATCCTCCACCAGGCGGCCCCCCCCAAGCCTGTCAGCCCCACTCACACAGACACCCCCCACCTCAGCCCGGTGCCAAAGGCAAGGCAGCCCGAGCAGGCCTGGTCAGATGGCTGCACGTATGAAGGAGACCTCAAAGACGGGCAGAAGCATGGGTTTGGGGTATTTAGATGGGGCAATGGGGAGGTAAGTGGATCAAAGATCAATCAAAACCTGTGTGGGGGGTTGGGGTGGTTGGGGGAGTTGGGGGGGGTGGTTGGGGAGGTTGGGGAGGTTGGGGGTTGGGGGGGTTGGGGTGGTTGGGGGAGTTGGGGGGGGTGGTTGGGGAGGTTGGGAGGTTGGGGAGGTTGGGGGGGTTGGGGAGGTTTGGGAGGTTGGAGGGGTTGGGGGGGTTGGGGGGGTTGGGGGGGTTGGGGAGGTTGGGGAGGTAAGTTCCTCTAAAACTGGCCTCATCCACAAATCTCATTTCAATAACCACAACTTGCAATTTACACAGCATATATGTTTATGTTATATATATTCATTTCAATGTTGTGTAGATATACATGAAACAAGGGAATAGAAAAGTATTGGGGTTGGGGTGGCGGGTGGGGGGGGTGGGGGGGTGATGGAAGAGGCTCATGAGAGTATAAATATTGGCATCGACTATTAATAAAAATAATGGGACTTGTTGGGCACAATGTCCCGTTTCGGTAATTCCACGTAATAAGCACAACTGGTCATCACTAAAATAAGTGGCACAGCCTTTATAAGGTTTTGATTGTCGTTTGAAGGGTATGGAGAAATTCTTAGCGAGCCAAGAACAGTTCGCTCTTTAGAACTTACTTACATCCTGCTATGACCTACAATTCAGACAGAATATATTCTATATATTCGGAAAATAATGAAGCCCTAAATGTTACCATTGCAGTCTTATGAAGGAGATTTCTATAAAGATCATCGTCACGGTGATGGAATTTACTCTTGGACAGATGGAGTCAAATTTATTGGAAAATTTTACCTTGATCGTAAAGAAGGCTATGGTACCATAGAAATGAACGATGGCTCTGTGTTCCAGGTATTCAGCGATTCTGAAACATACATGATCTAATAACACACAACAAATTCCAAAATGTAACTTTGTCCATTTAAATTTACAGCTAACAGAATCTTTCTAACAGATGTAACTCCATTGGCAACAAAGCTCACCTGAATTACCCCACATTTCACATCAAGAGTGTCTATACAATGAATTCTCCCCCTGTTCTTCAACCAAGCAAACAGTTACTACACTGGCAAGTAATTACTTGTGAAGAACTCAGAATATTTTGAGACAAGGTCCTTTAAAAATACAAGTTCTTTCTTTCCACTCTCATTCTCCCCCAATGACTTAGAATGGGAAGCCTCATTCAACCCAAGATCTTGATTCCACTGGGAATTCTTTAGATATTCCCTATGCATCAGATGTATGAATAAGGATTCTATTCATGTCACAGCATGTTTTTTGTTCAGTAACCTAGAAAATGTATTTTCTTTGCTGTTTAGGGGTTGTATAAATCTGATGAACGCTTTGGACCGGGGGTCTTGACGTACCCCAATGGACACCAAGATGTGGGTCTGTGGTACCGCGACCACTTGATCAAGCTTTGTACTGCTCTCCCCAGAAAGTTTACAATGAAGAATCACCCATATTATCATCCCATTATCAAGAAAAACACCCTTGTGATAAACCCTTCAGAAGAAGAGAAGTATGTTTGGAGAAGGGACCCTAACACAGACCCGTTTTTCTATCCTTTCAAAAAGCTGCTCTTTGATGATAAATACACTTTGCCTCAAAACATTGAGCAATACTCCAATGATTGCGATCACCTCCCTCTCACTTACTCATTCAAGGATGATTGCGACAAGTATTTTTTCAAGAAAGATTATAGAATAAGGATTGCAGAAGGTAACCAAGAAATTGACTTACTGAACAATACCCCTTTGCTCATTAAAATGCAGAAGCATATCCACAGACATAGGTATGCAGTTGTAGATTACAATGTTGTACAAACCTAATCTTTTACTCTTGCTAATTCTCTCTACCTTATTTTCCCCCTCCCTGATCTCCTGATACTGTTTCATTCTATTTTTTTCTTCCATTGGTAGGATTCCACAGGTGCTGGATCGCTACATAGTGATCAAGAGTTAGCTGAATCCAAGCAATAAGGACTTGGATAAGTAACTGTAGTATCTCTGTTGCCTCAGTTGAGATCAGATAATTCAGCATAGGCTCTGGAATCAACCTCTGTGTGGCTCAGATGATCATCTCACTGAGCCATAAATCTTTAAATTAGTTTTCTCTCTCCTGAGGACCAAATTGGTCTGAACAGATTTATGTAGGGTTTTTATCAATGTTAGACTTCTGTTGATGCAACATTTCCATCATCTCTGGGAGTTTGCCAAGTATAGCCTGCCAGTGACTCATCTTTCAATTATTCACCCAATGTCTGGTCTCAGCTAGGCACATGGAACTATATACTGTATCTACAATTGGAAATTCAATAAAGAAGGGTAATAAGCCAGTGTTCCTGACTTTCCAGGTTGAGGCTCTTGCTCAATTTCCCTTGATGTTCCTATATCTATTACATAGATTTTAATAATAATAATCCTTGCATTTGATATAGTGCCTTATCACGTCATTCAGACGTCTCAAAGAGGTTCACCAAATATACTGTAAAGTGGATTGATTGTGTATTTGGTGGGCAAAACATTTAAATAAAATATCCTCAAAAAGTATCCATAGTTTGGCAAATTTTTAGATAAAGTTTTAATTTTGAAGCCTTTTTTGTAAATTATTTTGAGAACTACAGAAAACTGAAAACTACAAGAAAAGTCTAAATTTTTAAAATTGCCAAATTCTGATGCTCTAAAATGTTACATAAACAGACATAGTCAGAAAAAGCTCCAGTGGAATGCAACTGCCGTGATTGAAGGAATTCGGGAGGGCTTTGGACCCAAAGGCATTCTTGAGTGCAATGCTGAAAAGCTGATTTCTGCAGCTGGAAATGGGAACTTTAAGAAAGTAAAGGAAATCCTGAAAGCCAACTTAGCAAGTGCAGATGTTGCTGATCTCAATGGGAATACGCCACTCATTGCTGCTTCTGTAAGTATTCAGTTATCACTTGTTTGGCTTGTCAATTGAATCTGTTAAGCAAATTAAGCTGGGGCTCACTCAGTTGCTCAGAACTGTACGAAAAGGCTCAGAAGGTCTCACCTTCAATTTCTTATCTGTTTTGCTTTAGCTGATCTCAACCAGGATGGGGTATAAAATTGTTGTTAATGCCTTAGTATCCCATCTCAAGTAAGAACACACTGTAATTGTCTTCAAGTGCAGAAGAGAGAGAAATATGTCAAATGTATTAGATGTAGATGAGAATCGTTGAGCATTAATCCTTGACAATTGCAGCTCATTCACCTGTTACAGCTTATGAACAATTTCTTACAGATCATTTGTCACAACAACATCATTAACTTTCTCCTCGATAACGGAGCTAATGTGAACAAGCTGGATGATGAAAGTACCACTGCCCTCATTTCCTGCAACACTTTGTACTACCCCATCGATTCTTTCCAATTTGAAATTCCTGCTCAATTGGTAAATTCAGTAGGTTGTAAACTATTGTAAACTATAATATGTTTGTATATCTGTATCTAGAGTCTGTTTGGCAAAGATGAAAAACAGTGTTGCCAAAAAGTTAGTATTATTGGTGTGTATCAGACCCCTCTTCCAGTCAGAGGTGGCCCCTGTTGAATGAATTCTTTGGATAGGGTTAAACCTGCCAAGGAGTGACGCTGAAAGAGATTTAGGTGTGTTAGTTGACAAGTCGCTCACCATGTTAAAACAGTGTGAGGCAGCCACGAACGAGGCAAACAGGATGCTGGGCTATATTGCTAAATCAGGTGAGTTTAGATCCCCAGGCATCATTCTCAGGCTGTACAGTGGTCTGGTCAGGCCGCACTTTGAAAACTGCATACAGTTCTGGCCACCGTGATAGAAGGGGGCTGCTCAAGCCTGAGAGGCAGTGCAGAAGAGGGCAATGAGGATAATCCCTGATGTTAGAGGAATGAGCTAATAGCAATGAATTAGACAAGCTAAGGCTCAGGCAAAAGTCTCAGTCTCAAGGGTGTCCAGCATAGAACAATCAATGGCTGCTAGACACTGAGGCTAATTGAATCCAAACATATAAGTGCCCAATTTACCCAAGATCTCCTTTTCTTTACCTCCAGGGAAATGAACTATATAAACCTTAAATGTACCAGCTGTAAAGACAGTAGATTATCCACCCCAATGTTACTCACTAAGTGTTTTCTGAATGCCACAATTCCAACCAGTAACAAGATTAATATCTACTGCCCAGAAAGCTCCCTTACTGCATCATACAATGAGTGTGATTCCACACAGTGAGCCCTTGGATTTAATCATGCCACTGTGGTCAGGTGTCCAGTTGAGATGATGCAATCCAATAGTTGATTTGAATACCTGAGTTGAATAGTTCTCGTTTTAGTAGGAACATTTCATTTGCTTTATTGTCAATGCTATTGTCTTGTTTCTGGATAGACAAACTATGAATCCCACAAAAGGATGAGTTCATCTAATGGGCAAAAGTAGCCAGAATACTAAGAATAACAGTTTCAGTTATGCAAAGAATGACTTAGATCAAATGTAGTTTAAGCACATTATTGTTGTCTTCTGATCTTTGTTCACTTAATTTTCAACTGCTCTTTCACCAGAATTCTTCAACAGAAATGGATAAACCACTCACGACTGATTTGAATACAGAAATTCTCCATGTATACGATCAACAAATTAAGCTTGGCACCTTAAATCGTGTGAGAAGTCTACATGCAGATCAGCATTTGAACCAAAAGCATATTGAATTATTTGAACAAAGCCTTGAAGAAAGCGAGGATATCATTGAGCACGAAGCTAAGGAGGATCAGTATGAGATAAACATTGGCTCTGCAACATCTCAGCCTTTCGAATCTTTTGAGGCCCTCCATGACTTTTCTATTGATGTTTCCAACAAGAAATTGCAGTATGCTGCTGAAATCTTAAGCCGTAATGCAATGTTCAACCGATTGATTGAAGAACAAGGATCATCCAAGCATGATATGGCAGAAATTGTGTGGAAAATGGCCCAAATGAAAAGCGAGTAGGTGTAGAAGATGCACTGCTTCATTCCATGTTTATTAATAGTTGCTCTCTCTGAAACTAACCCGGAAAAACAGGTTCCTGAATTTTGCCTGCAGTCTTTGACCTTCAGTGTAAAACCAAGGACCATCAACATTTAAAATACTAAAAAGACAATGTTCTTCCACTCTCATAAGCAAACCTCTTACTTAACTTAATTTTTTGAATGTTCAGTCATGTAATATATTTAAAGTAATTCCCAAAATGCCATTTTTTCAATTTTTGTAACATTTTCAGACACCGGAAAAGAAAGAAGACAATCAAGTTGCTTCTCCACAGAGGTGCAGACCCTAATATCTTTACAGACCCAATGCAAACAATTTTCTTTCCTGTGCTAGCAGCCGATGTTAGTGGGGTGAAGCTCTTACTGGAGACAGGAGTAAATACAAATATCCGATTCCCCAAAAAGGTAAGGTAATCGGGATGTTTTGTGGTAAAAAGAGCACTGTGTGACTGGAGATAAATTACCATCATTGCCTCACATTATTCCTCTATGAGGTATTGTCGTAACTGTCTTAAAACTCATACATTGCATTTACAAGAGAGGATAAAATACTGTTGAATAAAACACTGAAGTGATGTTGTCAAGTATAATTCTTAACAACCAGCTACAGCTGTGTCGTGTGACTCATACTGCAATGTAGCTTTACTGTGTAGCTAATGCTGCAGTGATACTGCCTATGTGAGTGAGTCGTGGTGCACTGTAGCTGCTGCATGATTCACAATGCAGTGTGGCTACCACATGGGCAATAATGTGACACTACCGTTAAACCGTATAGTATAGTATGACTCATTTTGCAAACCTATTTGTGTACTTACTGCACAGCAATGATATTTGTATTTACATATTATGGAGCTGCAACACAATCAGAAGGTCCAGTGCCTGCACAATCCAAATGATGGATAACATCGTCTAAGTCCTGAGGTTGTGATTCTGCTAAATAAGGCTGCTTCCATCTTACCTCTAGTCTTTAGCACCTAGGCTGATGGTACTGTGCGCTCTGAGAAGCTATTCTGCGTAGAGGGCAGGTGCTATACAAGTGCAAGCTGTTGTTGTTGTACTAATAATAGGTCTCACTTCCGATTTTTAATTATCTGTTCTTTTTAAACAGAGTCAAGGCTTATTAGTTGGAGGCGGGATTGATCAAACATCCAAAGTAAGGCAAAGTTGAACTCAAACTCGGTCTCCCAGTTATTACAGATTCCGAGTCTCTGTTTTCTTGTGAAGGTTGTCAAAGGAATGGGAGGGCGAAGAGTAGTAGTACATATTATAAAATGTGGTGTCTATATTATATGTTGAAGGGTACCAGACCTCAGATTACAAGGTAAAAACTAACTCAAGGAATACAAGAAAACGCATGATAATGTAGTCTGGGATACCATCCAGACAGCTGTCTGTATTTTATTCTCACTTTACCCTCAGAGACACATTGACTGTATTTGAGACTTTACTTGTGATAATGTTGCTTTCAGCTGACCTTTATGAAATTAGTTGCTATCAACCTCTGTACTTTATATACAGGTTTGATTTTGGGAGCAATCTATCATTGAGTAAAACGCAATGAACCAGTTCATTACTGCAAGCAGGCTAGGCAAGGGCAACTAACCCCTTTTCAAGCTAAGAAATCCAGTGTAGGTATTTAGCTTGGCACCTTTAACCGGTATTTGTAGTAGCAAAATGATGGAGGGGGTTGGAATTTTGATGTCACATGATGGAAGGGCAAGCATCATGTCTGCAATTATCACATGATAAGTTGAACTGACAGCTAGCAAAGCCCCGCTATCTCAATATCACTATGATCTCAGCCTCACTTGTATTCCATTTAGATGCGGCGGGTGAAAATATTCTTGGTGGGGTTGGGGGAAGGCTGAGTAAAACTTAGCTAAAGAGTCGGTTCCCTTTAAGACAGGTGAGCTGTTGGCTTGATTGACTGGTCCATCAGCTATTTACAGATGAGGATGCCTCTGCAAGCCGCCTGCTGGACTGTAAGAGGATAGGCACTGCCAATGAGTTAGGAGAGGGGCAAGAGTGGGCTTGTGGGGGCCACGGCAGCTCAGAGGTCTGGCTGTGGTCTTCCTGAGAGCTTTCCCCTTCTAGCTTCCCTTAAAGAGGCAACTACAGACAGACAGATGGAAGAGGAAGAGAGCAAGTGGCAGTGAGTTAAGTTCATGGTAGTGTAGATTTCACAGAAACATTAAATGGTATGTGAACAGAATGAGTTCAAATCAACCTCATTTGTTTCTAGTCCTAGCCATCCACTGGCTATGCTTCTATATACATTCCACATCCTAAAAACCTGCATGATAAAGCTTTTTCCAACCACTCCTTAACCCCGAGCTCTGTGCCCTCACTAGCAATTTACCAAATAGCAGAACTAATCTTTTACTATCTATCCTCTCAAATACTTTAAGAATTTTTAAGATCTCCATTAGATTCCCCCGTAACCTTCTCTGTCAATCAATTCCTCATTCAGCCGAATTGGAGAGATATGGGTTGGTAAGGAAAATGATTTAAGAAGATTGCTTTAGGTCCTGAGCAGGGTTGGAATTAAACACGTGCCCCATCAATGCAATCCCCATACCTGTATCCTTCTAATAATGCCCGTTATTACGACTCCATTATATGAATGACAAAATGAACTATACACTGGGAAAAAAAACATTCCGTGGCCCCAATTTTTGGAGCATTCACATGAAAAACTAACTTGCCAAAGGCTCCCATTTGGTAAAATTATGCAAGTGGCAGTGAGTTAAGTTCATGGTTGTGTAGATTTCACAGAAACATTAAATGGTATATGTGAACAGAATGACATCAAGTCAACCTCATTTGTTTCTCATCTTATAGAAATAATTGACCCCTTTTAAAGCATGGCAATTTGAAGTCCCAACAATCCCAAGAGTGCTACAACATGGCCTATTACCAGTCAGTGCTTCTGTAATATTGTGGCCAAATCCTTGTCCTAAAAAAACAATCAACTTCTGGGTTATCAGATCGCTACTGACGTCACTTCATGCAGAGTTGAGATCTAATATCCTTGAAGTCATCTAATTTTTTGTTTAGTACAGGGCCTGGCAACCGGCTTTTTAAAGCAAGTTCACCAGCCTTCTACGTATATTTATAGGTGGGGTCCGATACCCCATTCATACTGTAAGCAAACCCAAGTTATAAAGAAGATCTATTTAAACAAGGAACACATGTGGAAATTAGAACTATTTCTCCACAGCTGGCTGGACTACCTCCTCTACACATTGCTGTGTCCATCCCTGGCGTTAAAGGAGTGAAGATTACAGAACTACTGCTTAATTCAGCAGCAGACCCAGATGCTGGAGCAGAAGATATGTATGACATATACCAACCTGACATGGTACACTTTCCAGGGTTTCAGTTTCTGGTTCGATAATTGAGTAGAAAGGTCCGCAAGTCTTTGATCACCTGCCCTAAATTTCTGTCCAGAGCAAGGGATATTGAGTAACCTGCAACAAAAGCAGAAGCAGATGGTTAAACTCTAAACTTAAAACTAGAGCAAAACAGTTTAGGATTGAGAAGAGGAAGAATTTCGATCATAATAATAATAATCATAATATTTGCATTTAATGTGGCGCCTGTTTACATTGTTAAGGCGTCTCAAAGTGGTTGTGACAGGATACAATGTAAAATGGATTAAATGTATTTATGGGTGAAACGCTTAACAACAACAATAACAAGATTTCATTTATAGAGCGCCTTTCACGTCGGGAGGACGTCCCAAGGTGCTGGACAGTTGGGTCGGGACCCGAGCAAGGGGGAAATGGTCAGGGTGAGGGGAGGGAAGGGAGGGAGCGAAGAGGGGGTAGAGAGTCGAGATGGGAGCTGAAGGCACGGTCGAAGAGAAAGGTCTTGAGACCGGCCTTGAAGGAGGAAAGGGAGGAGGCAAGGCGAAGGCACTGGGGGATGGAGTTCCAGAGCCTCGGGGCTGAGAGGCTGAAGGCCCGGCCACCGATGGTAGGGCGGTTGGGGCGGGGGATGTGGAGCAGACCGGAGCCAGAGGAACGGAGGGTACGGGCAGGTAAGTAGGGGAATAGTAGGTCGGAGAGGTAGGAGGGAGCGAGGCCGTGAATGGCCTTGTAGGTGAGGATGAGAATCTTGAATTCTTAAGTGACAAGAGCACAATTAATATCCTCCACAAGATAAAAAGCATCATCCTCTTTATATGTAATAAAGGTTGAACTTCTTTCAAAGAATGTGGAAAATGCCAAGTCATTTACTGTTTTCCATTTCCATTTCACTCACTTTCTCAGTGGCAATGTTTTATTCTCTCCTCACTCTCTTCTCACTTTTCTGTTTGCCCACTCACTTTTTTCCTCTAACCCACTCTGCCTTCCTTCCCCAGTTCTTCTCCTTTCTCCCTCAACCTTTCTTTTTCTTGCAGGTTTCTGGTGTCCAGCAGCTGATCGGGTTCGAAGTAAAAAGCCTCAATCATTCTGGGGTCCCTCCACATTACTTCGATCAGCCTGCAATAATTCCCCCAAATGTTGGTCGATCTCCACTGCACATTGCTGCCCAACGTGATGATGATTACAAGGTAGAAAGAAATTTTTAAAAAATTCATTGCGCTGTTGAATATAACCCCAGTCACAGTTTTGCATTATATTCGACTGCGATATTCCTTGATTTTACTGATTTGTCCTTTTTTTTTATTATACTTTCTGCCTGCACTGTGTAAGGTTTCTGCTGCTGCACATGTGAGTTGCTTGAATATCATTGAGCTCACTTGTAAAGCTCTTCCCTTGACTTTAGAGTTTCTCTTTTTACTCCTGCGTAGTGACTTGTGGCATATTCCAGATTTCAGTGCTTGGTCCTTTCCTTTTCTCTAGCTGTGACTCTCTCACTCGGTGAATCATCCATAAATATATGTGCGCTGACGATCCCAGCAAGCCACATATCTAATAAGCTGTTTCAATGATATCTCTGAGCTGATGAGTTCTTTTTGTGTAAACATGGTTATTGATCTGTAAGTGAGTTTCCTTCTTTGCTGCTCATCCCAGAATGCTCATGAGATTGTTCAGCAGCTATTGACGCATAATGCAAATCCCAATACCCTGTGGAGCGGGCACTCACCACTCTCGTTGGCAATCGGCAGTGGAAACGACCTGGTATGTCTTCCCTTTCAATTCTCTTTGCTTCACTTGAAGGTAAAATCCAGTGCTCTGGCAACAAAATTTTATTATTATTATCCTTGCATTTGATATGGTGCTTTTCACGTCTTCTGGACATCTCAAAGCGCTTCACAGAATATGCTGTAAAGTGAATTGACCGTATATTTGTAGGCGAAACGCGGCAGCCAATTGCGCACGGCAGCATCCAACAAACAGTCATGGATTGAAATGACCAATTTATTATTGTTTTTTTCTTGAGGGATTATTATCATTATTATTAGTCGTAAAAACTAACATTAACAAAGAGGGAAAAAAATTAATGCTGGANTTTTTTTTACACAGTGAGTCCTGTGATTATGGAGCCAACAGTTCCACTATTGACAAAATTAATTAATTAATAATAAGGTTTACTCACCCGCTCTAAACTCCGTAGACCCATCACACCAGTCCTCGCCAAGTTCCACTGTCTCCCTATCACAGAACAGATAGATTTCAAGATTCTTATACTCATCTACAAATCCTTCGACACCCTGACACTTCCCTACCTTTCCGTCCTGCTTACTCCCACTTACCCTCCATGCTCCCTTGTTGACAGTCCAGCAAAAATCTGGGTCTCACCTTCTGTTGTTATTTTTCCGCTCCTTCATTCGGACCATCTGAAACATTTTACCAAAAGTGGGTGGGAGCAGGAGGAACAAGCATTCATGGTTGCAAGTTTAACAAAAAACAATTGTTTTTTAACCGATGCGATATTGATGTAAGGATAATTGTGCGAGTGTGGACACAAAAAGAGTGAAACTCAGTGCAGTTTGCATGAATGCAACTAATGATTAGACACCTTATGGGCCCAGAGAATCATTTTTATCAGAGAAGTCTGTTTTAGCTTCCTGCAGGACTGATGAATTGCCACTGAGTGGCATCAGTGTGCTTGCTACAAAATCTTCAATGTATCCTGTCTTCCATTAGAGGCAATATTAACCTAGCAGCAGTAAAGACACCTGCCATTAAGAATGTAGTTGACAAGAAAAATACAACAATAAAAACTTTTGAAGAAACTAGAAAACCACTTGCTCAACCCCTTGCAGATGAAGTGAAGGCAAGTGTATAGAAATAAGCCTGAATTTATCAAAGGAAACACAGGTTTGAAGCTGTAGTTGGGAAGCGAATAAATGTAACCTACAACTTGTACACTGGTCCAGGCAGTTGTGACCTCACAGTCCTGTGCAAGAGAAGATTCAATAATTGTTTGGTGACCTTTGAGCTTTCTTTTTTCTCTCTCTCTATCTTCTGTCGTACGTAGGCAGTGGATGAACTCTTGAACAATAGAGCTAACGTGAATCTACCACTCGGTAACGGGGTAGGGAGTGCTCTTGCTTCAGCACTGAACCCAACGTATGAGCACAGGAGATCAATGCAAGATCGACTTGCACTAGTAAGTAATTTGCCCTTTGCTTTTTTAAGCCATTAATAGGAAAACTCAAGACTGCATGCTATTACCACAGGACTACCCAGGTAGTGTTTTGTGCCTTGATCAACTACCAGAGGCAATTACAGGAGATATCTACACTTGTTCATTAACTATAATTTTAATTTATCATTCTCCCTTATACATAAAGCTTGCTACATTTTATTATATTTGCAACCACTAGTTTTAAACATGTCTGTTGCACAGGTGGACAAATTAATTCGAGCTGGTGCCAATATTTTGATGCCTATCACAATCGCACATGGAGACAATATGACTGTGGGAACAGCTGTAGACTATGCATATTTCAAGTTTTTTCAGGTATATCTGTCATAAGGAATGTCTTGAGCTTCCTAAAGAACTTCTTTACTGTAACTCTTATGTAGTGACTAAATCCTGAAAATCGTTTTTTATCCACATGGAATAAATATCAGGGAAGCTAGTTATTGCGGGGGAATGGGTGGGGGGGGGGGGGGGTGGGGGGTTGGGGAGAGAAGAGGGGGGAAGTTGTGCTTTAATGCCTGAAATGAACAACTCACCACAGTTGAGAGCATGGAGCTTGGGATCTTTGCAAACTTTACAACTCGGCTTCACTTTGAAACCGTTCTGGTTACCTGAATATGCAGGATCAGAAGATAGCGCAAACGCCTTATCATGCTCTGACACCCGAGGAGAGAGAAATCTTCAACAACCGTCGCCAACTGCTCAAAAGACTTGGTGGACCCCTACGGCATGCTGCCATTTTGAAGGAAAAGAAACGGATAGATGAGCTGGCGAAAGGTATTGGAGAAACATTAGCACTTTGTTTTGACCACCACACACAATTCGTTAGGGAATTTCCTTAGTCTGGCCAACAAACATGCAGCACGCGTTTTCGATTTCTGTTTGCAACCCGATATAAAAATCAGAATTGCCTTAAAATGGGTCAAAAGTGATTTTTTTTGTATGTCAAACAGAAACATGCTTGATTAAAGTATCATTATGTTGCAATGAATTGTCACCAAATTTGTTATTCTTCAATGCGAGTCTGGCCTGTGAGAGTCCGAGCTGGGGAGGAAGGACAAGAGCACTCCTCTTTGAATTTTGGCCATAACAATTACTTTCTTTTGATTTCAAAACCTAAAGTTGACAAGCAAGATGGTGTAGAAGGACAGCCTAATCAAATCAGTCTTACCGCAAAAGCCATCTTACACCGATACAGTGTAGTGGGCGACTTAAAAGAATATCCAACCCAAAAGGAATTTGCTGAGACGTGGCAAAGCATGAAAGATAATCAACTGCAGAGGTAAGGCACACTCTATAAAAATTGTCACTGTCCAGCAAAGTGCAAAGACCCTCAAACAAATCATGAAGTGAAGGCATTGGGAGAAAATCTCGTCTCTTTCCAGATATGTAAAATCCACCTGAATAGATAGCGCTAGCAACTTAGTTTGACATCTCATCTCACAATGCAGCACTCTCCCAGTAAAGCACTGGAGTGTTATCTATCTATCTTCTATCTATCTGACTCAGTCAGGATCGTTTGTGTTAGAAATGGACAGACACCGTTTCAGAAAATATTTGTATCCCCCTTATCTCCATTATTCAAATTGGCCTTCTCTTCCATCACAGACAACAACAACAACAAGATTCCATTTATAGAGCGCCTTTCACGTCGGGAGGACGTCCCAAGGCGCTGTACAGTTGGGTCAGGACCCGAGCAAGGGGGGAAATGGTGAGGGGAGGGAAGGGAGGGAGCGAGGAGGGAGTAGAGAGTCGAGAGGGGAGCTGAAGGCACGGTCAAAGAGAAAGGTCTTGAGACCGGCCTTGAAGGAGGAAAGGGAAGAAGCGGCGAAGGCACTGGGGGATAGAGTTCCAGAGCCTAGGGGCTGAGAGGCTGAAGGCTCGGCCACCAATGGTAGGGCGGTTGGGGCGGGGGATGTGGAGCAGACCGGAGCCAGAGGAACGGAGGGTTCGGGCAGGTAAGTAGGGGGATAGTAGGTTGGAGAGGTAGGAGGGAGCGAGGCCATGAATGGCCTTGTAGGTGAGGATGAGGATCTTGAATTCAATCCTCTGGGGGATGGGGAGCCAGTGGAGGCGAGCGAGGGTGGGAGTGATGTGGTCACGGTGTCTGGTGCGGGACAGTACACGAGCTGCAGGGTTCTGAATGACCTGCAGCTTGTGGAGGGAGGTGCCGGGAAGGCCGGCGAGGAGAGAGTTCCCATAGTCCAGCCTTGAGGTGACAAAGGCGTGGACCAGAGTTTCAGCAGCGTGAGGGGTGAAGTAGTGCCATAGTCTGGCGATGTTCCGGAGGTGATGGAAGGTGGTGCCAGTTGTGGCGCGGATATGAGGGAGAAAGGACAGCTCAGGGTCGAACAGAACACTGAGGTTCCTGACTGGCTTTGAGAGGTGGAGAGTGCAGCCTTGGATGCTGATGCTGTCAGCGCCTGAGGTGCGGAGACGCTGACGTGAGCCAATCAGGAGGGCCTCAGTTTTCCGCACGTTGAGCTGAAGAAAGTTGTCTCTCATCCAGGACTCAATGTCAGACAGACAGCTGTCAGGACATCGGTGGTCGTGGAGTTGAGGGTAGAGGAGGAAAGGTAGAGTTGGGTGTCATCCGCATACATGTGGAAGTTAACCTCATGTCTGCGGATGATGTCACCACAGGGGGAGCATGTAGAGGGTGAAGAGGAGGGGACCGAGGACAGAGCCCTGAGGGACACCGCACGAGACAGTGTCGGGGTTGGAGGAAAAGCCGTTCGTGGAAACAAAATGAAGACGGTGGGAGAGGTATGACCTAAACCACTCAAGGACAGGGCCTTGAAGGTTGAGGTGGGAGGACAAGCGGTGGAGGAGCATAGTGTGGTCGACCGTATCGAATGCTGCCGATAGGTCGAGGAGGCAGAGGGAGCCCTGGTCGCAGATGGTCAGGATGTCATTGGTGACCTTGACCAGGGCAGTTTCTGTGCTATGGGCAGCACGGAACCCGACTGAAGGGGTTCGAATAATGAATGGGTGGAGAGGAAAGAGCGCAGCTGGGAGGCGACAACTCTTTCAAGGACCTTGAACAGGAAGGGGAGGTTGGAGATGGGCCGGTAGCTTGACAGCTGCGACGCATCAAACATTAGACGACAGCATTAGTATTATACACAACTGATATCTGACAGCAAAATGAAGTCTGCAATACAGAGTATTGCATTTCTTTCATCCTTCAGAAATAGCTCAGATACTGGTTTTCAAAACCTAACAACATCTAACGTTCTGCTTGCATTATACAGACAACCCTTGTTTCTGTTCAAATTCTGTTACAACTGTGGGCGCTCAGTGGGTGTGCGTCTGACTCTGTGCAGTCGGTGCAAAGAGGTCTATTACTGCAGCAGGGCCTGCAAATTGACTGCTTGGGAAGAATTTCATAAGTATGAATGCAAGCGATTCAGAGGTATGCCCATTTCATTTTTAATGTACATCTTTAACAAATCCAACCAAGTAATTGTACAGTTGTGCAAATCTAGTGGTGAAGGTATATGCTTTCAGTATGTATCGTAGATAAAATCCCAAGAAAATTATAGAAAATGAGTGTTGGCAGGCCTTTTAATATTGGAGGCAGGAGGGGGGTAAACGAATCACAGCACTCATCCAACATCCACCACATATTAAGGCTTTCCACCAAATGCACTGGATGATAAAGAGCAAGAAACACAGACCCATGGATTTTTAAAAAAAAAAATTGGTTTCGGACTTAGACCTATCAGGTTTGAATTCCAGATACCTGGAGTAAGATGGGGTTTACTGTACATCAGTACTGATTTGCCTAGAGATTACAGAGTAACTGTACTTTATAATATATCCTGTGAAGTGCTTTGAGATGTCCTCACGATGTGAAAAGGGCCCCAAATGCCAAGATTATTTTATGAAGTCATTTATGAAAAAAAACATTTACTTTTGTGATTTATCAATTTCCAGCTCAACCAAAAATCAAAAAGAAAGACACAAGTGGGGAACAGCAGCAGAAGGTCACCAAGAAACCCCCAATAGATAACTACAGCTTTAATTAAAGTATCTTTGAATATATGACATTTCTTTACGCATTTTGTTTTAGGGGGCAGAATCTGTGCTTGCAAACAAAGGCATAAGGTGTCAATACCTGTCAATTCCAGGAATGAAAAGCCTTTAAAATTTTGCACAGCACAGGTAGCTTGCAGTACATTGTCCCAACTATTTTAACTTCAATGGCATGTAAAATAAATTAATCAAACTAAGGAATAAGTAGCACAAGTCAATCTTTATTGAAAACTTAAGTAATAATACATAACAATTCTTGTTACAATAACATGCCTTGAAGTTTCTTTTTAAATCTCCGAGCTCACCTACCGTCAGATTGCTTTTTTAAAAAAATACCAATGTATGAATTTACACATAATTGAACTGGCTCAGAATGATAAGAGTTTGTGGTTGATGAATTAGCCAATGTAAAATGAGGATTTGAAACAGGTTGCTGGAAGACAACACTGACTGAGACTAAGTAGTAAGTACCAAAGTAAAATACTTTAAAGCATAATGTTCAAAAAGGGTGCTTTTTCTGTTTAAGAAAAAAAGAGTGCCTTTTTAGTAACAAAAATGAGCAGGAAAACTCAATTGGGCAATTGTACCTATAAGTTGCATGCATTTTTGAACAGAAAGGCTATCATACGGCACAACAATCAGACACCAAATACAATCTACTCACAATGTGAAATTCTGTAAACCAAAAGGCAATAAACAATTTCAGACAGGGTAATATTTCAGGCTGTATCCATCTACTACTGCAGGCATCCTAATTACTAAGTGTGCTTATATCGGTGGTCAATTAAGATTGCGTTGGCCAGTTATGATTGCAGGCATAAGTGGTGCAAAGATTTTGTAAACGTGCTGGATCAACAGTGCCATTTTCCCGTCCCTCTCCTCAATTTACAAACTGCAGGAGCTCTGCATTGCCCCCCCCCCCTTCTCTTTCAGGGTAGATGATCACCCAAATTCTAACCTCAAATTTCCAGGTGCTCAACAGACTGAAATCTTGGAAAAAAAATTTAATCTTTCTCCCTCCCCCACCAATCCAGCCAAAATATAAATTAGTAATGGACTAGAATGTGAGTCAGTGACTGAAACATTAAACACTGTTTGAAAAGTGATAGTGTGCTTAGTTTTTTTAAAAAAAGCTGACTCCAAAATAGTTAATTGAATCTATACAACAAAACATTTTGGTCTAGCCAAGTTTTTTTTTTGAAAAACAAAGCAGGCACATTAAAATTGCCTAGAGTGATAGTTGAGGGTCTCCAAATGTACTGCACTGTGTACTATAATATGAAAAAATTCCTTAATTCAAATAATGCTTTATGTTAAACATTCCAAATGAAAGCTTTTCACTGCCAATTATTCACCTCAGCACCCATTACCTTCTTGTTGAAATATACATCATGGAAAAAAACAAATGATATCACCACAGCACTTTTGTGCTGTCACTTAGTTGCCCATTTTAACTTTTGTAGAATCATACAACCTGTAAATACAGCCAAGTGATCAAAATGTATTTACTACGTTGTGGCACACTGGAACATTCACATTAATCAATACACCTACAATACTGCTCTTAGCTGCACCCCCTCAAATGCTAAGAAAGTTGCAGTGCTGTGCATTGGTTGAGCAAAGATATAGGAATATATGGAAAGAGAGCAGAGGGAATTATAATCAATTTTAACAGAATTTAGTTAACAGTAGTGTTGATAGACTGACTAATTTCTGGATTGTCAATACTTTTATCTCATGTCTTCCAGCACAAAACACCGAATCCAAGTTTGAGTTTGTAAACTCTCGGAAAAGATCAACCACACATACTGTCTTTATTCTCATTAGAATTTTTCTTAAATTGGCTTCTTTGCACTTTTATAGCTAAAATAACAATGTTTTGTGTGGGCATTTTGGCAAAAATGTTACTTGCAGAAATGCAGTATTTTCATAGGTTGTGTGTGCACATATTTGCCTAAAAACAATAAAAATCACCTCTTCTGCTCAGCTACACTTGTTTGACAGTCTTGTGTACATCAGTTTACAAAAGGATTTAAGAGATTAGCACATTGGACACCATTTTATTTGGGAATCTAGGACTATACAATTGATGACCTCTTAACCAAAACAAAAAGTAAAACTGAAAGATAAAAAAAAAATCAAATTCCTACTTGCTGAAACTACTTTAACATAGGGTCAGAAAGAGCTCAATGTTCTCCTCAAAACTTTCAGTGCTTTTCTAAACTGGGAGCTTTTCAGGCTTGAAAATCTCCATTTTCTGTGATTTTTTGGCAATTTTGGGTAGAGAACATACAGTAAGTATCAGATGTGTTTCAAGCTGGAATTTTGCTTTGAGCGTGTTCTATAAACACATTTTACCTACAATTCTTTACTGTTCCTTAGTGTGTTACAAGATAGCTTGATCATTCCACTTCCAAGGAGTAACCCCACTAGCTGCACAGCAATATGTTCCTCAAGAACTAGTGTAGGAGTATTTTAAATAAAATTCTAATCATCTTAAACCACTCATAACATTAATGTAAAAAAAGATTAAGAGTGATAAGACCACGTTTGTGCTTGATCTCCTTTAATATCCTTTTGCTAGCTATCAAACATGATACCATAAATAACTCAAAACAGATAATTGTTACTGTTCTAGTTAATTTTAGTGTATCCATTCCTTTACATTGAAACTATTTGGTAATCGATACCATTTTCCTCATGAGGCCCGATATTGAGAGAACAGAGACAGCTGAAGGTTGGATCCCTTTATGTCAGGTACATATATTATTAAGTTGCAATGCAGGATACTGTACTACCTGCATTATCAATATCACAATCAAATACTCTTAGCTGTACTCCTAAGACAATTGTATTCCTTTGTACCTATATTCAGAGTTAACCATTTTTGAGGTGGCTAACAGATCTCAGAGTTGCAACCATTCTCTTTAAACTGGTTTGAAACTCGAGGAGGGTAATATTGCTTTCTTTACTTAATCAGCTTCTCTTCTATTGTTAAACTTGTGAAAAATGAGAAAACCTTACAGTGACAATTGTTGTACAGCATTTAGGTCATAAAAGAATCTTGAGACTTGTTAACCAAAAAAAACTTTTCATTTGAACACAAGGAATCACACAGTTGGTTTACTACATAGTTCAAGAACAGTACTGCCAGAGGCAACAGTAATAGAAACCTTTTGGTGAGTGAATTTTGTATGGTGCCAGTGGAAGTGGGATAGGATGATGAAAGGAAAAGGTAAATGCTTTGATAATTTTATAGCCAGTAAAGATCTGCTCTTTTTTTGGTTTCACCAACAGCTAATTGGATGAAAATTTCACTGCACAACAAATGCTATTGCTTTGGAGCCAAGTCATTCCTATGTATACCCTGTGAGAATAGTATTTGATAATGGCATTTTATATAGAGATTCCTTAAACAAGCAGACAACTAAAATGAAATCAGCTTCCTTTGGTTTTATACTAGTTTGAATACTCATAAGCATGTTATAATTCCTTGAGTTATTCAACCTCACTTTACCAATCAAGCTATCCTGTATGATCCACAAACTGGAGTAAAATCAACTCTGAACCTGAACAAATGTATGTAGAAACTAAGGACTTTTTTTAATATAAAAAGAAAAGCACAAATATACTCCCATTTAGAGGATGAGTGTTCATAACTGGAACAGTAGCCAAAGCACCCTCCATGCTAACAAACTGAGGCACAGCACCCCTATTCTATAAAAGAAATGAGTGCATAAATTGTTTTTAAAAAAGGAAAATGTTTCATTACGTTGTTTTTGGAAAGCATTGAAAAGTATGGAATGCAACCATCAAGAACAGTATTGCTAGGATTAAAATGCAAAATTTAGTAGCCAAAATATTTTCTGCACTGGTAATTGTAGTTTTAGACTTTCATGGAACATGAAAAATGTAAGATTTGGGCCAGGTAAATATTTTAAGATTGTCAAATTAAAAACCTACAAAATTACAAGCGTCATGTTTTAAGTCAGAGGAATTTATAAATTGGAACATTCCATTTACGTGGAATATTAAAAAAAAGAAAAATTCAACTTGTATTGCTCTTCCAGATCCATCTTTAAAAATGGCCACACATCTCCTTCATCATTTTGTTTTAATCTCTGCCCCTATTTTTCATTGAAACATCGAACCTAATGTCGTCTAAATTGAAGACTGTCAAGTCAATGCCTGAATGCTTCATTTAACGCCACTGGAGTATCACCTCCAGGTGCTCTATAGTAAATGCATTGCCTATCTGAGGTTGGGAATGAATACAATGACTAAAGAAATGTAACTAACCCTTAAAAATGCAAGTCCAACAACAGATCAGGTTGTATTCTGGCATGTAATAGAAATTCACTTCCACTATTCTTTTGGAACATTACGTTCATATAGACTGCATTATTTGAAAGTTGCAAAACACTTTCAGTTCCTTTGGATTTTGCATATGATGTTTTGCTTTAGTCACTGAAGGTAGATTTTAGCAAGCATTTTGTAACATGCATTGAACTAGATATGAATCCAAATATACTTATACTCCCTTTTGTATAATCTATAAAATTGCAAGACAGTCCACAAAAACAGATTTTGCCATCAGACTGGAGTACTGTTGAGTTCCAAGATGCAAGATATGCAGCCATGATAATCTTCTGTTTTTTGGTAGTGTTTGGCAAGTGTTGAGAGTATTGATGTTCAGGAAGGAAGGGGTTCAGGTTGGAGGCATGTGGGAATCAGCACCAAGTGTTAAGACTTGTTTGATTGCATATCTCCCACCTTTAAACCTGTGTAAAAAAAAGTGCATTGAAAACACGTTAGTGTTGATAATTACCTCCCTCCACTCCCCATTTTTGGCATTTTACCAGAGTGAGCCATTAATGTTGGGAGCATCTTGTAAAGTATAGTTTTCTTATCAATTAATAGCACAACATTCATAAGTTTAGCAAATTCTGATTTTTCTCAGTAAGAATTCAACATGTTAAATCACAACATCCCCTTTACATAGCACATCTTCTTCACATCCCCTTGTGGTTCAGAAAGTTCAATACTCAAAAAAAAACCAAGGTCAAAGCAGCAAGCAGATCTGACTAAATACAGCAGATTGCATATTCCTTAAATTCAATGTCTGCCCTTTCTTGGTCCAACTCCAAATTCAGAAGGTCTATACATCTCAAAGCATTATATTTCTTGCTAGGACATTAATGCTTCATAACAGCCAAAGAAAAATGCTTACAGTAACTAGCTGTTCACCACTGTGGGGGTACATAGCTGTAGGTAGGTGTTCCTGGAGGCCGATAAGCAGGCATAGAACCTGGATGAGCAGCGACTGGAGTCGGGGAATGAGTTGTCAACAAAGTGCCTGTGTAGAAAACAAAATCTTGTTTCAAAAAATATTGTTGAATTTTGAGTTAAAAGTTTTTTTTTAAAAATGTTGAATTTGGTTCAAAATACAAGAGTTAGAAAACGTTTTAACATAAAAATGCAAAAACTGAATTTGAAGAGTTTGAAAAAGTTTAAAGCTAGAATTATAGAACACATCAACCAAAGGAAGCCTTTATCTCCCTCCCTCTTTAAAACAAAGTTCCCACAATTTCACAAAATCAACTTTTCTGTAAATTCTGCTCAACTGGAGGAGCAGAAATGTATAAGGAAACCAATAATTTGTCATTTTATAAAATATACATTCAATATAAAAACATAGGAGAAAAGATCACAATAAATATCTTTAATGTCCACAGACTTTCCTCAAATAGGAAATCAAGAGTTCTTTGACCTGCAAAAGTTCTACAGATACAAGTCATACAGTCTAATACTGTGAATGTCAACTCGTGCCAATGTGAACAGCCTGCGTAAAGGTAACAGAGTAAATCAGAGCTCTATTCAATCAGTTCAAAAAGCTTCACAAACCGTGCGCCAAAACACAATCCCAGGTCTTAGAACTGTATATTGTGTTCCACTTTAGATACTGCATTTATCAAATTGCTTAAAAAATGCTTTAGAATTTTAATCAAGAGGGCTCTGAGATGTCGCTTGGACAAGATGTTTGTCGAGGGCATGATTGGCTTACTCCTTTTTCCTCTTGCTCATTCAGCAAAGTCCTTAAATTGCCCTTTCAGTGAAATTCAAGCTCTGAAGGTCTAGCGGCAAATCAAGTGTACTAATAATAGGACAAGCAAGCTACCGAGAACAAATAGATTTTTTTTTAAAAAACGTCGAATTTTAAAACACTCAATTTTCTTTAGGTTTCCCAAATACCCCATTTTGTGGTACACACATTTAGTGCCATTAAAGTCTTAAACCCCCAAGCCTTTATATCTTTGAAACTCTATAATCCAGAAAAATAGTTTCTCTTACACGGATACCCACCAGCTGACATTGCCATAGTGGTTCCAGCTACCATTCCCATGGCAACACCATTTCCTCTGGGTTGTTGAATATGCTGAGGGTACATAGCAGGCATTCCATTTGGTTGGACGACTGTGGTGTGATGAATTACATGTGGTGGTGCTGCATACAGGGGTTGTGTGTAGAAAGCACCTTGCTATTAACAAAAATGACAATATTAAAGGTTGAGTGTAAGGAGTACTAACTGTATATACACACATATAAAAAAATACACATCTTGTATACAGTCTTAAGTTGTACCCCAAATTACTCATTTTTGTAAACCTTATCCCCTCCAAATTCTGTCAACACAGCATTGGTTAAACTGATGCCAAATCATGACTAATCTTGCTCAGATCAGACCTTTGCCTTACCTGAGCGTAAGGGTTCTGCTGTGGATAGGCACTTCGAACTGGGTATACTGCTGTCTGGTATGGATTGGGAGAGGAGGAATATGGGGGCACTGCTCCACTGGTTGGAGAACAGGACACTTTATAAGGTGTGCCTGGTGTATAACCTAAAACAAAGAACCCACAAGGTTAAACATTTCACTGGTCAATTCAGCAAAGTGGTCTCTGATAGGCAATCAATATTTCTTTATTTTCACTATTCTTTCACTCACCTCAGCTCAAGCTCAGAGCAACATTTCAAATTGGACAACGCAGCAACAAAATCTTCCTTAAAGGGGTCATCAATAATTGCTTTTAATACAAGCATTACTTAATTGCTTCACCCTCCAAGCTGCACATGGTAAAGTTATCAAAAAGTTGAAAAATAGAACACTAATAGTGTCTCTAGCATTCTTGTTTGAGTTATTTTACCATTTTATGTGGGACTCAAGTGAACCCCAGTAGTGTATCGTTCATCTAAGAAGTCACTACACATTACAGTAAATCCTGTGAAACACTTCAAGACTTCTTCCCAGATGAAAGGTACTATGTCACATGCTTGAATTATGACACACAAGTGATCAGGCAGAGTTAAAGTGGTATAAACTAGATACAATACCTGTCGGGAAGGCTGGATTTGTAGCAGAGTACATATTATGAGAGAAAGCAGGAGCAGCTGTAGCATAGCCCACTGGGAAACCTGCTATTTTGTAAGAACGAAAACAACATGTAGATTAAGTTAACAGAATTGTACCAGTTTTACAATATAAACAAACAGTACAACAAGAAGTGGGTCTTAAGAATTTTTTTAAAAAAATCAAGACAGGGTCAAAGAAAACAGTTCAAAGTACCAGAACTCTTATCAATGATTTAAACAGAATTTTTTTTAAAATTTGGACTAAGAGCAATACATGAATACAAGAACTAACTTGTTGAAGTTGAATTAAAAGAGGACAAGGTGAAAGAAAATGAGGCATAATTCCATCAATGTTTGGATTTGAACTAAGCTCCAGAGGTGAAAGGACACCCAAAACCATTCAGGCCTCACTAATGATACATGTTAATTCAGCTTCTCTATAGTCAGTCTTATTAATTCTTATTGGTCGTGTTATTATTTAGGTGAACCAATGGGCATGGTGTACATCTGTCAAAAACCAAGAATAAAATATCAGTTATTACAACAGTTTGTTGTAACTGGTATGATTGTACTTATTTAAAGAGTAATCAATTTACCTGGGTATCCAATTCCTTTTGGATTTGCATAGGGAACCCCTGAAGGAGCTGGGCTGTAGACCGGGTTCATGATGTTTAGTTGGAGCTAGCTAACAGTTACAGTGCTCGGTGACTCCTGCTGTAATAAATAATCCAGATTCATTATGAATGTCAGTTTATAGACTGCATTTAAATACTGAAGTACTACAGACACATATGCATTATTTCTTGTTTTCCCTCGAGCTCCTGCTTGTATATAGTTCCCCTCGTTGCAGCCAAATGCACTATGCCAATTTTCAAGAAATCACACTGATAAGATTGTTAACAATTAAACAATTCTTAAATATGATATAATGTGTGAACATGTTTCAAGTTTGAGTCGACCTACTGAAGGAATGAAGACTGCCCAACACTTCACAGGGTGGAGGAAAATCCACAGCTTTAAGATGCTCTGGAGGAATGAGTTTGAAAAGCTGAAAGACTTTTTCTTGTTCTAAGCTTACGTTCTTACACACCAGCATCGGAGGACTGGAATCAGAATACTCGCTCAATATATAACCTAGGGTATGGTGAGGAGACTTAAGCAGGAGGAAGCAAACATATCTTTTTTTAAAAAATCAAAGAAATTAATATTTCTAGTTGTGACAGATAAAATATTTTAATTATAGAAGATATTTTTATCCCCAAATATATTTCCCATGAGTTATGCAGCTATGAAATTCAATTTACAATCAACTTTCCATGGGATGAGTTTAGAGTCACATTACTACCAAATAAAGGTAAATTTGAATAGGTATCGATTGCAGAGAATAAAAATAAAAACTAGTCAAAGAATGAAACTTTGAAGACGAGTGTTCATTTTAGGAGACAAGGTAAATCTGATCCTTTCAACCCTTTGAATTATTTTCAAAGTGTTTTCAGTCTTTCTGAACAGTTCAAATGGAAGTCAATGCTCAAATAACAATGCAAAAATTGAACACTTCTCTATAATATCTGCAAGTCACGAAATACATGCATCGTGCAAAAGACGAGGTGAAATTCCATTTAACCCAAGAGATTTGGTAGTTCCACTTAATAAAACATGATGATGCTTTTCCTGAGTTCTTACAAAGATGGCTTCCAATCATTCAGAGCATGAAGCATGAAATCATTGTACAGTACACCACAGGTTCAGGATTTCTGTCTTGTCAATTTTGCAGTAGAGTAAATGAATCTGGCATATAACTATGCAATACAAAAACCAACTAGATTCAGCACCGAAGTTCACTTTGGTTATAACCTAGAAATTAAACAAACCACTTTTTTAAAAAATCATGGAAAAGGAGCAATTATCATACCTATTAAAATAAACACTCAAAGATGCTTCAAGTACTGCAGCAATGCCAAGAATGAGATTTTAAAATTCTCAATTGAGTTCAATTTTAAATAGATTTTCTCCCAATTTAAGGACCAAGGCTAAAAAATTTGAGACGCTCCAAAGTTGCCAATCCCATTCAGCAATCTCACTGTAATACAGTTATCACTAGATGCATTAGGTACATTGGCATGGACATGGCACAAGCAAAATACAAACATACTCCACAAACTCCATTCCTCAGCAGAATGCTTTGCTCATACTATGACCCATTGTCAGTGTTCTCCATTATAAATTTAGCCAATTTCATAATAATGGATACAGAGCTGAGCCATACTGCTTTGCTTGGGAGAAACCAGTGAGATTTTGCATATTTTAGTCAGATTGGAATCAATTAACCATACAATGAATTTCTCATCTCAGCCAAGTCATTCACAAAGCGAAACTACCTTGTGTTACTGAATGATAGGCTTTTGATAGCAGTATAACTTTTGTGCAAATTAAAAAAAAGAGAAACAAGGCTAACAATTTGCCCGTTTATTGCGATGTACAATTTTAGAATTACTATATGGGCCAATTGAAAGTCAATAATATTGTATTCAATTACCCAAATGCAATTTGGATCATATTGTACTGCAGCACTATTGGCAGGTAGCTAACATTGTTGATCAAATGCTCTTTTGAACAAGAGCCTTCATGGCTGTGATAACTTTAAAAAAAAATGAAATATCTCCTTAATTTGAGAACTCATTGAATTTGTGATCTAAGCTCTGCATTCGCAGACCTCAGCAATGCCATTTTCTCACACAACCCTCAACTAAGAGAGCACACTGAGAAAACCAAAGCGGGGAATCAGTCCAGCTAGGTTTGTATAGTATTATTCTGTGTTTTCCGGATTATAATATGAATTTAAATCTATGACTTTTCACATTAGTTTGGGTACTTACCCACTCACACTTTCTCACCACCCTTGGTCTTCTTCCAATCAGAACTCAGGAATACAGAGCAGAAATCAGCAGCGAAGCAGACAAGGTATATTTTTGAGCTCCTACAATGTACAAAAACAACATTTTTTTTTTGGAGGTGGCAGTGGCGGGGGAGGGGTGGGGGGGGGGGGGGGTGGGGGGGGGCGCGGAGGTTCAGTATCTTTCCAAAACCAACAATGAGCTCAGGACCGAAATTCCAGTTTGAAAAGCAAACGGTGGGGGGGAACGCGTTTTCCCACTTCTTTATTAATACATTTTAATTTCAGGACGAGCTCTCTTTCAAAAACTGGGATGTGTGTGTGTGTGTGTGTGTGTGGGGGGGGGGGGGGGGGTGTGGGTGGGGGAGAGGTATTTTCTCACCAGCATAATGTAGTTATAGTTGAACCAGTAAACCGTGTCAATTACATATCTATCTATACACACACACACACACACACAGACACACAGACGGAGGGAGATTTGATGGATGCAGCACTATCATAACAAGTGTCTGGAATCAAAGATGGACGTTTTACAGATCAGGCGATCGGGTCGAGAACCAGAAGGATCGAGTGATTTCACTGTTGGGCAGTTGAGATCGGGGATGAGAACACGAACCGAAAGGACCCCCCAACAGGATTTTTGTAGCATTTAACGGGAGTCGGTGCGTAAAGCCCCCCCACCGCCCCCCCTCACTCACACCCCCCCCCTCACTCACTCCCCCCTCACTCACTCCCCCCTCACTCACTCCCCCCCTCACTCACTCCCCCCTCACTCACTCCCCCCCCACCCCCCTCACTCACTCCCCCCCCACCCCCTCACTCACTCCCCCCCACCGCCCCCCTCACTCACCCCCCCACCCCTCACTCACTCCCCCCCACCCCTCACTCACTCACTCCCCCCCACCGCCCCCTCTCACTCACTCCCCCGGTGAGCAAAATGGTTTCGCGTATCGTCAGTATCATTATACTGTTGGGGAACCAGGATTTGATCCGCGTTTGTTTGTTTGTTTTGCACAGGAGAGGCCCTGTCAGCGCGGCCCCTCCGGAGCCTCGGTCGGTCGGTCGGCAGTGCAGTGCAGTGCAGGAGGGCCGAGCACAGCCTCGAGAATCGCAGCATAAAAACAATGACAAAATGGGGGGAGGGAGTGGGGGAGGGAGGGAGGGAGGGAGGAGGCGGCGGTGCGGCCACCGCAACAACCCCGCCCGCCCGCCCGGGCATTGAGGCCGAGGCCTATGGCGCGCCCAACACACCCGCCCCCGTCCGTCCGTCCGTCCGTCCCCTGTACCCCGGAGCTCGAGCTGAGCGGCGACTCCAAGGGGATGGGCCCCGACTCAGAGGCCTCTCTCTCTCTCGCTCGCTCTCTCTCGCTGTGGTGGCGAACATTAATATAAGAGTCGAAAGAAAGGCCCGGCGGAGCGAGTGGGCCCGGACGCGGGGTAATCGGGTGGGGGGGGCGGGTTCGATACCTGCAGGTGACCGACGGCGGGGCTCTGGCGGTGCGGCTCTGCTCTCCTCTCCGGCTCTCACCTCCCGCAGCTGCTGCGCACTTACCAACCAACGCCGCTTCCTACCTCCCGCACGTCACTTCCGCCACTTCACACCTAAGAAAAAAAACAGGAGGGGCCCAGAGAGAGAGTCCCCCACCACCCCCCCGGGGGGGTGAGAGTGAGGGCTCACAGGGCACTGCCCCCCCACCCCCACCCCGGGGGGTGAGAGTGAGGGCTCACAGGGCTCTGCCCCCCCCCACCCCGGGGGGTGAGAGTGAGGGCTCACAGGGCACTGCCCCCCCCACCCCCACCCCGGGGGGTGAGAGGGAGGGCTCACAGGGCACTGCCCCCCCCACCCCCACCCCGGGGGGTGAGAGGGAGGGCTCACAGGGCTCTGCCCCCCCCCCCTCCATCCCCAGGGGAATGAGAGTGAGGGCTCACAAGGCTCTGCCCCCCCCCCCCCCCCCCCCCACTCCACCCCCAGGGGAATGAGAGTGAGGGCTCAGAGGGCTCTGCCCCCCCACGCCACTCCCAGGGGAATGAGAGTGAGGGCTCACAGGGCTCTGACCCCCACACTCCATCCCCAGGGGAATGAGAGTGAGGGCTCACAAGGCTCTGCCCCCACTCCACCCCCAGGGGAATGAGAGTGAGGGCTCACAAGGCTCTGCCCCCCCCCCCCCACTCCACCCCCAGGGGAATGAGAGTGAGGGCTCAGAGGGCTCTGCCCCCCCCACGCCACTCCCAGGGGAATGAGAGTGAGGGCTCACAGGGCTCTGCCCCCCCACACTCCATCCCCAGGGGAATGAGAGTGAGGGCTCACAAGGCTCTGCCCCCACTCCACCCCCAGGGGAATGAGAGTGAGGGCTCACAAGGCTCTGCCCCCCCCCCCCCCACTCCACCCCCAGGGGAATGAGAGTGAGGGCTCAGAGGGCTCTGCCCCCCCCACGCCACTCCCAGGGGAATGAGAGTGAGTGCTCACAGGGCTCTGCCCCCACTCCACCCCCAGGGGAATGAGAGTGAGTGCTCACAGGGCTCTGCCCCCACTCCACCCCCAGGGGAATGAGAGTGAGTGCTCACAGGGCTCTGCCCCCCCCAGGGAAATGAGAGTGAGGGCTCACAAGGCTCTGCCCTCTCCCACCCCCTACTCCACCCCCAGGGGAATGAGAGTGAGTGTTCACAGGGCTCTGCCACCCCAGGGCAGTGAGAGTGTTTACACAGACACCACCCCCCACCGCTACCCCGCTCCTTACCTCCTCTCGGGGCATTGTGAGGGGAGTCAGAGAACAGAGTGTAAGACACTCCACTCAGAATGGAGCCTGTAAGCACTACATAACCTCAGCAACAATATAATAATAATAATAATCCTCGTATTTAATATATTGCCTCAGCACATCATCGAGACGTCTCAAAGCACTTCCCAAGAATATATTGTAAAGTCACAAATTATATTGATCATGACAAAATCAATTTTGGATGTTCAAAAGAAAATTGGACACTTGGGAAGTAAGGGTGTTAAGTAGCATAGAGAAAAGTCAGACAAAATGGAACTAAAAGATCTGCCATGACATAACAAAAGGCTGGTAGAAAAGGCTTTATGGGCCAAATGCCCTCCTCCTTTTCCTATGTTGCTAAAATAATTCATGACTTAAATATAAAGGGGAAGCATAATGGAGAAGTGGAAGGGACAAGTAGACACGGGCATTTGCTGGAAATCTGACAAGAAAACAGAAATTCAAGAAATGCACAACAGTAATTCAGCAGTTAAAAGATAATAAAATAATAATCCTTGCATTTGATATAGCGCCTTATCACATCTTCGAGACATCTCAAAATGCTTGACAATATACTGTAAAGTGAATTGACTGTATATTTATGGGCGAATTGCAGCAGACAATTGTGCACAGCAGTGTCCCACAAAGTCGTGGATTGAGTGACCGAATTATTTTTTTTTGAAGGAATTATTACCCCAGAAAAGCGATCTGTCAATCGACTAACAACTTATTTACTGCTAGGTAAACAAGCGTGCGGATTAAGGAAACTTGCCCAACGTTTTGTCCTGCCGGGAATCGAACCAAGGTCGTCTCGCATATGAGGCGAGTGCTCTAACCACTAAGCTACAGGATTCCACATAAAGATGGTTCAGGTACATAACATTAAGTGCAACTTGAACTACACTCTCCCACAAAGACACTTTTCAATGTTGAGAATAAGGCTACAACTTGAATAAATGTAGAAGCAAATTACAGCTTAATAGCCATAAAAGTTACTTCTTTACTTGGTAGAAGCTGAAGTTACTACTATTTTTCCTGCTGAAGTTGCTGATAGACTTACTTCACATTCTGGTTGAGCATTTAATTATTCAAAGAGGTCTGTCATATGAGATTATTTGGCAAACTGTCAGATGTTGATTTAACTTGTTGCATGCCAAGTGGCAAGGAAAACGCACAGCTACGTCACTCTGCTTGGCTGCTGGAAACTGATAAACAGCAATAAAATTATCAACTACTCTATGACTCAGGTCCTTTTTAATTTTTTTTGTTTTTTAGTTAGTCAGCCAAGTATCTTATACGTGCAGAAACCCAACTTAAGAGTATCCAAACCAGCCTGGGAGTTCCACATTTGCAAGCCACCTGTCCACATAGAAATTTCTCTGTGTCTGCAACAGAATGCACACTTTCTCCCTGAAGAGATGAACCCTGTTTACCTAATTCCAGAGAAAATTAAGCCACTGATAAGGAAACTCCATAATCCCCTCTATCCCCGCCCCAGGAGGATACGCACATTGGTCGCTTGACATCTGACAAGTATAATTTTGAGTGCTCATTAAGTGGGTAGCAGGGTGCCAGGACCCTCCGCTGTGAGTTCTCCCCACAATATTTCAAATGTGGCCTGGATGGTTTGAACAATTTCTTTTAAGTTGTGGTGAAAATGACCTTGAGAGGTTTCAGTAGCCCACATCAACTGTTTTTTTTCCCCTGTGGCCCTTGTATTTTCCAGTCTTTGTACGCACCCCATTGCCAATCAAGATCCTTGAGGAGAACGTGAGGCCTTTAAGAGAAAACTCTGCATGCAAAGATCTATTCCACGGTACAGTCACCCAAACTAAAAACCATCTCTGTACGATCATGACACGGCACTTTTTTTTATTCGGGCACTCACTGTGCCATGATTTACATCCCTTAAAAGCCATCGACATCTCCGACCTGTGTTTGTGCTGCGGAGTGGAATGCGTTACCGCTCACACCGAGGGCAATAATGATGGCAATAATGATGGCCTTATCTCGTCTTTTGAGACGTCTTCGCAGAATATTACTGTCAAGTGGAATCATGGAATTACGCAGCACAGAAGGAGGCCATTCGGCCCATCGGGGTCTGTGACGGCTCTTTGAAAAGAGCTTCCAAATCAACCCCACTCCCCCCCCCACCGCGCTCTCCCCCATAGCCCTGCAAACTTGGTCCTCCCACAAATAATTATCTACTGACTGTTTGGTGGGTGAAGGGAATAATATCAGTCCTGTATCTTGGACAGTGTGCACACGTTACTTGCTCCGTGATATTGGAACAAACCCTTTCTTTCAATGTCATTGGCTTTTTCCACCAAACCCGGAAGTCCTCCCTGATCTCCGTCAGGTGACTCGCCGCGCGAGGCGTCCTGGGAGGTGTAGTTCTCTGACCCGCCGCCGCCAGCGAGACTACAACTCCCGGGAGGCACCGCGAACACAAGGGGGCGGGCGCGCGCGCGCGCACGCGCAGGTCGCTGGCGGTGACGGGTCAGTTTGTCGGGTGTCAACATCGCCGGTGTCGGTGTCTGTCAGTCGGTGTCGGTGTGTGTGTGTGGGTGTGGGCCGGGCGGCGGGTCCGGGCCGCCAGTCGGTAATATCCGCACCGCTCCGTCCTGACAGCTTTGCTGAAGGGTCGGTGAGTTGCTTCTGAGCTCCGTCTGGTTCATTTCACTGGGGGTGGGGAGGGGCTTTAGACGAGGTGAGCGGGTGTGGGGGTGTGTGTGTGTGTGTGTTGTGTGTCTATGTATGTGTTGTCTGTATGTGTTGTGTGTGTGTATGTGGTGTGTGTGTGTATGTGATGTGTTGTGTGTATGTGGTGTGTTGTGTGTGTGTGTATGTGTTGTGTGTGTGTGTATGTGTTGTGTGTGTGTGTATGCGTTGTGTGTGTGTGTGTATGTGTTGTGTGTATGTGTTGTGTGTGTGTATGTGTTGTCTGTATGTGTTGTGTGTGTGTATGTGTTGTCTGTATGTGTTGTGTGTGTGTATGTGTTGTCTGTATGTGTTGTGTGTGTGTATGTGGTGTGTGTGTGTATGTGATGTGTTGTGTGTATGTGTTGTGTGTATGTGGTGTGTGTGTATGTGGTGTGTGTGTGTATGTGATGTGTTGTGTGTATGTGTTGTGTGTATGTGGTGTGTGTGTGTATGTGGTGTGTGTGTGTATGTGATGCGTTGTGTGTGTGTGTATGCGTTGTGTGTGTGTGTATGTGGTGTGTGTGTGTATGTGTTGTGTGTGTATGTGTTGTGTGTGTGTGTGTTGTGTATGTGTGTGTGTGTGTTGTGTATGTGTGTGTGGTGGCGGGGGACTGTGTGGTGGTGGGGGGGTGTGGTGTTGGGGGGGTGGTGGCGGGGGGGGGGTGGTGGTGGGGGGGGGGGGTGGTGGGGGGGTGGGGTGTGGTGGCGGGTGGCTGGGGTGTGACGCAGTAAAAAACCCTGATCCTTGCCTTCCTTGCCCACAAAATATACAGTCACTACACTTTACAGTATATACTGTGAAGCACTTTGAGATGTCTTGAAGACCTGATAAGGCGCTATATCAAATGCGAGGACTATTGTTATTATTATTCCTCCAATCTAGACTTGACTTCTCCAATACTCAGTCCCTCCGTCTCGCCCCCTCCCTCGCCCCCTCCCTCGCCACCTTCAAGACCCACCTTATTACCCTCCTCTTCGACTGTGCTTTCGATCTCCCTGCTTTCCCCTGCCCTCCATCCTCCTCCACCGTGGTCTTGAGCTCGAGTCCGTAACTCTGCCTGTCCAGCGCCTTGGGACGTCCTCCTGACGTGAAAGGCACTATACAAATGTAATTTTGCTGTTGTTGTTTGCCAGCCTCCCTATCTTCGCCTTCCAGAATGTTCCTGATCAACCAGCATTCTGAAGCACAAGTTCTCTCCTATGCATCTGGTACTCAGCACTGGCTTCCTATTTCCCCCCCCCCCACCAAAAAAAAAAGATTGGCCTCAAGATCCTTGTCTTTACCTTCAAATGTCACCGTGGCCTTGCTCCCACCCTGTCTGTCACTGACATCTCTGTGGTCCTATTCCGTCACTCACTGCTAACTCAGACCCGCTTCATGTCCTCCATCCCACTATTGATGGGTGAACTTTCAGCCAATTTGTGCCCACTCTGGAATTGTTGCAATGCCCATCAAAATGAGCTGTGAATGTCTGTTTTAATTAACCCATTTTTCTACAGATCTTTGTTCTTGAAAGCATGGCATACATGAAGAGTGGATGGCTACTACGACAGAGTGAGTTACAGTTTATTACTTGTTTTATTTGATCCTCACTCTATTTTGCAAGCAAAAATCAGAGCCAACTTTTCTATTGCTCCCTTACTTTGCTATGCCTGGATTTTCTTGTAGAAAGAAAAATTCATGTGGAAAATCCAGCTGTGAATTAGTAGCCAAGGCATTACTTTATTGATGACTTCAAAAAGAGTCTTTGTGGAAGACATTGGGGAAGGAGGGGTTGCAGTTCATATTATATTTCTGCTTAGCTTTCTTAGATTTCACAGTTTGCTACAGTACTAAAATATCATACTTCTTTGAACATTGGAGGATTATAAGATAGATTCAGGAAAAGACTGAATAATGGCCGTACACTAGAGTTTCCTTAGTAAAGCACAGTCCCTTAAAGAAGAAGCTATAGTGAGTAACATCATTCGCTCATTTATCGCAGAAAATATGTTCATTTGATTTAAAATTGTTTATTTTAGGTACCATTTTAAAGCGATGGAAGAAAAATTGGTTTGATCTGTGGTTCAATGGTCAACTAATTTATTACGATCAACTGAGGGAAGATATGGAAGATAGGATTCATATGAAAGTGGATTGTATTAACATTCGATCTGGAAATGAGTGCCGAGGTATTGTTCTTTGTGATGCCATTAATGCTTATTTCAACAAGTGATATGCTTAATATAACACTATATAAGGGGCTTAATCTGATGTACTGATGAAATCCCGTTCATTGTGCAAAATAGTTTAATATGTAAGAACAAAGCCATTGAGACTTTTGTCCCATTTCTCACGATATGGGTAAATGTACATTCGAGTGGATCAACACTGAGAAGTGAATGCTGAACATAATGTTCAGTAGCTTATTTATTTTATTTAACCTTGGGTGTTGAAACCAGAGGCAATCCTATTTTGTGCCTTGTTACTACATATATTGCATTTATACAACTGTTTTATGCTTAGTGCTGTGTTTGTATGAGCTGACTATATGCTCCCATGAGTTAGCATTCACATGCGTCTCCTGAGTCATTTTGTATACTAATTAGTATTAAATTGCCAGATTGATGGATTGCTGAGGTTCAGCTCACCAGGAACTTCTCATGGGTTTTTACAACCAGCCTTTTATAGGCATTTACTGGTTTCCTGGGAAGCAAAATCTGAATTGTTTGGTGTGTGAGGCTTTACTTATGCCTGGGGCAGTGTTTTCTCTGAGACCCAGTGCAGTAAAGTGAAACTAAGCATTCACATTTAGATTGGTCTCTTAAAGTGTGATTCAATTTATGATTATATGCAAACACATGCTGACACCAGAAAGTCATGCATGATATTGACAGCAGAATGTATGACTACTTCAGTATCTATAATAGTGTTCAACAGTTTTTCTCTGGGGAAAAGTCCCTACTGCTACAAAACTTGCTTTACACATCCACAATTTCCATACAATCTTCATATTGTTAAATGGATATGAGATTTTTTGACTTGGTTTTCATTTTGACTTGACTGCCAATAAAATTCTGAGCACAATGCATAGAATGAGAGCACTTTTTTCCCCTATCAAGATTGTTCTTCCCACAACCACCATAGCACACCCTTAAATCCCTTAAATCTTTAAGGTACTTAATCCCACCCATTCAATTACCAAGAGTAAAACTCTATGTATATAATGCAATCAAGCAAACACTCTCGTCTGAGTGCTGACTTCATTTTTAAATTAGACTTCCAGCCTCCAGAAGGAAAATCCAGAGAATGTTCGCTCCAGATAGTGTGCAGGGATGGGAGGACAATCAACCTGTGTGCCGAGAGTCCAGATGATGCCATGTAAGTTTGTTTCTTAAATTTCACTTTGTCCCTATTTTTGTGAATGGTTCGAAGATCTTTTCCTGGTGCTCGATTCTCAAAGAGCAGATGCCCACATAGTCAACCTGGGTAAGTAGATGCCAGCCACAATCAATCTTGTTAGTTTTTTATAATGTGTTGCGTAAATATATGACAGTCAGGTGACTGCTTGTGAACTCAGCTTTTATTTGGCTCGTACCATTCCATTACAGCTTTAGCTAACACAATATAACAATAGGATTAGAAATGTGCTCCACAATGTAAACTGCGCAGAAGCCACTACTCCAGCAGCCATAGAGGATCTCAGAGCTCGTTCTCTTTTTTATTATAACTTGCATTTCTCTGGGACCTTTCAGTTAAAAATCAAAATCTCAAAAGCAGTTTTGCAGTTTCCTAGAACATAAATAGAATTGTATAGAATGTTACAGCACAGAAACCGAAAATTTAGCTCAACTAGTCCGTGCTAGTGCTTGTACACCACATGAGCTTCCGTGCCTCCTAATATAATACTTGTATAACTATAGCTTTGCAGCTACATTGCTGGTCTGTTGTATGATGGCCAATTAGCAACATAGTAGAAATTGGAATTTTTTTAATATAATCGTATCTCAACAATAACAACAACTTGCACTTATATAGCACTCTCCACGCAGGGTAGCATCTCAGAGTGCTTACGGCATCTCATCCCACTTACTCAGAGGTGGTGCCTCATTCAGGACAGAGCAAGGATGTGCCTGTAGACTTTGACCTAAGTGTGCTATCCAAACATCATTAAGCATGTTTGAAGAAAAGGAGGATCTAGTTTGTTCAGTTACAGATTCATGGAGATGTGTCAATGGGAGGTATGGAACCGAAAAAGGAAATTCATAACCAAAATTGTCCCTAGAAGTTGCTGCTGAACATGGTGTTAAAGCTGTTATATTTTACATTTTAAACTGAAAATTCTTTAATGCTTTCTCAGGTCTTTAATGATCAATGTTTATTTGATTCCCTTACTAATTTTCTCCCCATCTTCTCCTGAAGACATTTGACTTCCCCCGCCCTTTTATTGGGAAATGGTCCCTTAGGCTGACAGCTGCTGTCTGTTACCTCATCCAAGAGGCTATTATTTTCGTGAGAATCTCAGGACTAAGTGAGATATTGCAGTTTAGACTGGCTTGTATTCAACCAATTCTACACATAGCCAGAGGCTCCTGGATAGCAATCAAAGGTGGAAACCACGGCTGATCTTCTTTTCCCTCACCTGGAATGCTGAGGGCAGTTGTAGCACCCCTACTGCTCCTCAGCTGAGAAAAGGTTGCTTAGAGCAGTGATCGAATCCGATATGTTAAACTATCTGTCAGGGATACCCTAAGAGTATTTTGTTTAACTTTCCTTTGTTTGCTATGAATGCAGGGCCTGGAAACTTGCTCTTCAAGATGCACGGATACATTTGGTAAGTATAAAATAGTGAAAATAACGTCTTTTTTGCTTTGGACAAAACCAGTATTTGAGTAGCAACAAAATTGGAGACGATCACAGACTTTTCTAGTTGGATTTTTAAAACAAATATTCTGGAAACCTCCATTGTAAAGTGGAGCACGTATTCCAGCAGTGATCTGAAGAGCAAGGGAGGTGGAGTAACAAATGGCTTTATTTGTTTATTAGTGTTAATGCCCAATGATTGTACCTGTGCTGCAAAAGTAAGTGTTGAGTGGAGGCCAGGAACTCAAACATGGAAGCTCTGACGGAGGTTTTCAGTGGCGTGCTCTCATGGATATTCTGGCCGCAATGAGTTCAGGAGGTCACGCAATCATTGGTGTTGTGGCAATCAAACCACATTCTGTCCACAAGCACACAGTTCCCAAATATAAGCGTTATTGGGAACTGTTTCAATCTTGAATTTGTTTCCATTAATAATAATAATTAATAATAATCCTTGCATTTGATATAGTGCCTTATCATGCCTTTGAGACATCTCAAAGCGCTTCATAGAATATACTGTAAAGTGAATTGACTGTATATTTTGTGGGCGAAACGATGAGGGCAATTGCATTGCTGTGGATGCCATGGCTCAAATTAGCCAGCTCGGCACAGAGCAGGGATTGGACCTGGGACTTCTCATTGCTTGTACCACAGTAGGCAGGGCCTTTATCAATGGAGCCATCAAAGGAGCACTATATATGTTTGCTTCACAACAATAAAGGAAGATTTCAAGAATAAACTTAAGATATTGTTTGGATGTTTTCAGAACCTTTCTGGCGGACCTGAAATTGTTTTGGAAGGTGCTGATTTTGGCTCTGCTCCACCGCCATACACCGCTTATCCAACTGCACCACCACAGGTAAATATAACCACTGCACAAACCAATACTGTTCTGTTACTAGGAATGAGTACCGACAGCTATCAAGAATGATTGAACAGGTTATAGCTTTTTTCTTTAGAGTTGAGGTGATTCCTAAAAGCTTGTTGTATTCCTAATCAGAATCTGGCCTGGCACTTCATTTGCTAAAGCTCAGAACAGATGCATTTCTTCATCAAGTTGTTGCTTTATTTTGCACAATAAATCCTAATGCACAGTCTAGAGGTTGTTGTATTTAACCTGTTTCTGAATCGGGTAACCAGTTGAGTAAAACAACAAAAAGCGAATGGTGACTAAAGGGTGAAACTGTTTGGTTTTTAACAGTTCTGGGATGAGATTTTGGAAGATTGCTGATGATTCAGAGCCTCTTGTTATTTTGATTCAGGGCTGCAAACTGTTCAGCCATGAGGTGGCAGCAATCAGCTGTTAAGGGAACATTCTGGCAAAAAAAACAACAGGCAGTTCCAGCTTTTGCACACTTCTCTGTTGGGATGAGAGATTGTTTGATGTTGATCTACCTCCTTTAAGAAGACAATCCTTTGTTGACTGTGATTTGTAAACTAATTGGATTTGTACTGGGGGATAGCGGTGGGTTGTTGTGGTCTCTATCATTGGATGTTCATAAATTACTGCACATTGAGGCTTTCTTGAGTAGCACACAAAAAACATGTTCTGGGAAAAATACTTGGTATGATTTGTCTGTCTGGCCTGTTGTCTCCCCTTTAGTACCAAATTTGCATAATCAGGGTGACCAAAAAGTTGTGATACCATTACAGTGTCTAAAAAATCTTAAAGATGATTTCTTTTTAGATAATAGGGTAGCTGAAAAATAAGTTTTTTATTACTCTGTAGATGTTCATATTGTAGAGTTACCCAAAAGGAGGTAACAATTGGGAATTATTTGTAAGGTTCCATATTAAAAATCTGCAGATTGCTGACAAAGGGAACTCCAGATATGGTAAAGAGTTTCAAACCACCAGTTGAAGACCATGAAATGAATCATAATTTCTGCATGCTCATAAGAAAGTGGGAGGAGTGTGTAGGATGGTATATCTAGTGTCGGGAGAAAGAAGAATGTGAATTTCAGGGAAACAATGCTAAAATGGAGAAAGACAATGATTTAATTGTATTTTAACAGAGACTCGTGAACATTTAGTGTAGTCCTGTAGCTGAGTGGTTAGAGCTCTCGCCTCGCAAGCGAGAGACCTGGGTTCGATTCCCAGCAGGGTGAAACCTTGGGCAAGTTTCCTTACTCCACACGCCTGATAATAATCCCTCNAAAAAAACCCAATAATATTTGTGGGATACTGCTGTGCGCAATTGGCTGCCGTGTTTCGCCCACAAATATACAGTCAATTCACTTTACAGTCTTCTGTGGAGCGCTTTGAGACGTCTTGAAGACGTGAAAAGCCTACATCAAATGCAAGGATTATTATATTATTTACTGTGGCGTTCACTGTGGCTGTTTCTTTACGGTTGGAATCTGACAGGTTTACAGCTACGACTCTTACAGTGGTACCTACAATGCACAACCACCTCCTGCCCCTCAGCAAGTGATCTACACATCCAATGGTCAACCCTATGCCGTGGCCTATCAGTACCCCTACCAAGGTGAGTGTCTTCGTTGAGGGTTTAATTTCTTCAGCCAGTTTTTATATCTCTTAAGAGGACACAATAAGGTACTTTAGTGTGGACTGCAAGTATCTTCTGGGGGTAATAATTCCTTAAAAAAAAATGGTCACTCAATCCACAATTGTTTGTGGGACACTGCTGTGCGCAATTGGCTGCTGCATTTCTCCCACAAAATATACAATGTATTTTTACGGTGTGTTCTGTGAAGCGCTTTGAGACGTTTCGAGGTTGTGATAAGACGCTAAATCAAATACAAATAATTATTATTATTATTAATGTCCCTGTGAAGCGGTCAATCTTCCTTCACTCAGATGGCTTGTAAATACAGCGAGTCTCTCATTTTCACCAAAGGCTGATCGTTCAGAAATGAGTCGCAGTTGATGATATTTCTGTTGGTTTCTCTATTAAACATCAGCGTTTGGTAAATGTGGTGAGATTATGTGTTGGTCATTCTGGAGGTGCAGTAATTTCTTCTTGTTTCCCCCCCCATCCCTCAGGTCCTTACCCACCAGCTACCAATCATGTGATCATTCAAGACCGACGGCGTGATGATGGAGATGTAGCACTGGGAATGATGGCAGGAGCTGCTACAGGCATGGCATTGGGCTCCCTCTTCTGGGCTTTTTAGGTCCCCCCAAACAGCTGGCTTTACTGTTTGTAAAGCTCGACTTTCCCGATGGAAACTTTCCTTGCAATTTGAACCCCCAATTCCCTGCAGTGATATTCACTCCAGCACTCGATTCATCTGTACATGGCATCTTACTCTTTATACATTTCTACATTCTGACAAAAATGCGGTGGCATTTCTACATTTCTGGTTTTTAATCCATACTGATGGGTTAAAAGTTCCCTCTTTCTCCCCTCATTGTGGCAATATTACATTCTTACTCAAATGCAGTGAATCCAATGATATGAACCCAGTCAGGTTGGTTTGGACCCACTTCTGCTCCAGGTGTGACACTAGCACCAACTGTGATTGGCTGATGGGTTTAATTGAAATGATTACTGCAATTAAAATTAAAGGTAACAGCTGACAACCCTTGAGTTATCAAAGTTTTCACTCCCAGGATTTTACACTTGGCTGTTTTTTTTTAATTTTGAGCAAGTTTAGGAGTTTAAACCTTCTTAAAATCAAAATTCCATATCGTGGACCAACAAGCTGGGTTCCAGGAGTCAAAATATTTAAGGTACAGAATAGCAACAGGCTCTTGCTTGACATTGCAAGACTCAGTGCTAACATTGCTTTATGCCGTCATGTAGGCCGGGAAGCAGTGGATTTTATTCCTGGTGACTTTAGCTTCCAGGATTCACATGGCACAGGGTACACTGGTTGGGGCCTGTCATATTTCCTGACTGTTAATGAGCTCAGTGAGGCTGGAAGGTAGTTGCATATCACTTGACATTTCTGTTTTTATGTGCCAGCATGTGTATTGTGTAATGGGATCTAGCATTTAAAACATAATCGGGTGCCTCTCACTGAAGAGAGTAAAAATCTGTTTCTGCTGTAACATATCTTGCTCACTGCCCTTGGGGAGTTATTTTGGACTCATTCAGCATTAATCCTGGCTTTCTTTGCACAAAACTTCCACACTGCCCCACTCTCTGGTCTATTAGAGTAACGCACCCATTTCACCTATTGTACTGACCCTGCTGCTTCTGGTTAAACATGTGTGCCTTTGGTCTGAAACCATGTCTGTCAAAATGATACTCAGAGTAACTAGTCTCAGTGCAATGTATATCTATTGTTACCTAGAAACTCCACACCCAGGTCCTAAACCACAAAAAGCAAGGAACAGGTTGCTGAGGATTGTCCCCTTTGAAGTGTCTTTAACTGACTGACAAATGTCAGGGCTTTGCAGCATATTGGATCTTTCTACACTGTGCAACTGAGAGGTAGGATGTGGGCTCATTCCTCCCAGTTCCTCTCACTGTGAATTTGCACCTTGTGAGTGAGGAGAATTTCCAAAACCCTTCTGAATCCCCTTTCCTCTGAATTCCCTTTATCTCGGCAACAGCAGACCCCTGTGACAAGTCTGTTGATGTGAGGGAAAGTGTGGCTTGTGAGAGACCAAGAGAAAGAAAATGAAACCTGTACTCTGTGACTACTATAAATACTGTTAGAATTCTTTGTTTCAATTTTTTTCTGACTTGGAGTTAAAGCTGCTGCATTTTGCACTGACAGGTTAATGTTACGCTAAATTAATGTGATTCGGGAATGTACTTGGAGTTGATTTACTTTTAGATTTTTGCCTTGTGGCAAAGAGAGGAATCGTGAATTGGGATATAAATATCAGCGCTGATTTCTCTCTTTCTTCCACCCCCATCCCACCCCCCTTTGTTCTATTTTAATGCATATTGTTTAATTAGTAAAAGAGGAATCTCGCTGTGCAGTCGGCCTGTTCTTACTACAGTGGCTGAACTTGCATTTGCTGCTAAAATTGTCCTGGGCCAAGATCCATTCATCTGATGGTTTTGTTAATAACATGAATTGATTCTAAGTTTAGTGTACCAAAGAGTTGTACATTTTGTGGCTTTGCAACTGATGGCTGTTGTGTCTATAGACAACTGACAGAATGCAAGAGTACAGACTTCAATCCCCTTGTCTGAAATGCTTCTGTTGAAATGTAATGGTTTTGTAAATGCAACAGATTTCAAATTGGTTCCTTGAGTGAACTGAATCATATACTTCTGGTACTTTTGTAAACCTATTCCAGCATTTGTTTCACCCTCTTTTACTCCCCTTTTTCATGCTGCTTTAAACAGCAGAAATTTCCTACAATATTCTGCTGTGTTTTCATCATTTTGTAAGCCTCAAAAGGCTCTATTTTCGCCCATAAAATATACAATCAATCCACTTTATTGTTTATCCTGTGAATTGCTTTGAGATGTCTCAACAACATGATAAGGCGCTATATTAAATGCAAGGACTATTATTAAAGGATGTTATAGTCAATAGTGGAGACTGGTCAATAAAAAGTGTTAAAAGGTCTAGAGTTGGGGAAGGATTACAGAATTAGATGGTTACAAAAGTAAAAGGTAGAGAATGGCTGGGAATGAAATTGAAATGCATTGGAAAGTCAAAGTGTAATTTGGTTGATTTCCGNCCCCCCGATACAACAAAAAGTTATGAATTATTCTATTCATAAAAAGTAATTGTAAATGGGGAGGGTTTGAGAGCCATTTGCTTCTAACATTTGCTAGTAGCTGGCTATTATAAATCTTTATCTCTCTCCATTGATCTCTCCGTGAGTCACTCTTGTCCTAGCGAGTGGTTTATATTAAGATCTGATGTTAGGATACATATCCCCTGTGCTGCAAAGTTATGGAAAGACTGAGTGTGCAATTTGTTTTTGTTGACTTATTACTTGTTTAAAGCAATGGAATAATTATTGTGATGATCAACTAATAACTGCTATCGTAAAGTGATTAATCAATAGTAAAACTATTTACATGTCTGTTGCTAAATATTGTCTGGAGTTAGAAAATATTTTTCTGTAGAATGATTTTGTGTCTCTAAATAAACTGATCGATTGATGTTGTATGAATAGCCTATGTCTATTATAGATACATGGCTTTGTGGGGCATCACTGTGCTCAAATTGGATCCTACGTTACCCCACAAAATGCACAGTCAATACACTTCATAGTATATCCTGTGAAGTGCTTTGAGACATCTTGATGTGAAAGACACTATGCCAAAAGATGTATTATTTTTAAATATCAAATATTTCAGTGGTCTGGATGGTATGTTCTGCAGAATGACATTAATTCTTTGCCCCCCCCCCCCCCAGCTGTTAAACAGCAGTGAATAAATTTGAACCATATTGTTTGCTCAACTCCCCAGTTAATCATCTGGTAATGAGTCATTGTCTTGTAAGAATGAAGCCTCAGAAAGTGCTATTAATAAACTATGAACAAAGTCATCATCAGCACAGACACTTACCTGGTGTCAAGTAAAGTTTGCTTATTTTTCAGGTTCAATATTATTTGTGTACCAGTTGCACCAATTACAGGGGCATCATTATCTGTCTGCAGAAAAATTGACTGGCAAACAAATAAAACTAGGTTTGCTAATGTGACAATTTAAATTGAATTGAAATACTTGTGTGACAATATTTTAAAATCGAGCCACAATATGTGTGTGTATATTTTTGTGTTTAAAGAAAGACAGTTCCATTACATCTGGGAGAAATTTGGAAAACACTGTTTTCCAGATTTCTTACATCTTCCTGATAATCCTGCACATCATTACAGTTTACAGTAAATCCTTTGAAGTGCTTTGAGATGTCCTCCTGATGTGAAAGGTGCTGTAGCAAACGCATGGATTATTATTATAATAAGGATGTAAGATTGCCCATATTCTTCCAAGTTCTTTGACACCTTGACTTGAATGAGTCTGTTCAAGTTCCGATCCAAAACTCATTCAAGGTGTTGGCAGACCTCAGGAATGGTTTATCTTGGGAAGTCGGGAAGGAAAGAATGGCAGGTCAGAAGGAAAAAAAAAAGCTGTGTTCGGCTACAAATGCACAGTAACCACACTTCACAGTAAAATCTTGTGAAGTGCTTTAGATGAATCAATACTATATTAAGGTGCTACATGAAATGCAAAGATTATTACAATTTCATGTGAGCGAGTGATGCAGGATGATTATTTGTAATATTCGCTCCTCCCACCAGGTGGCAGAAGAGCACTGCTCAAGCGCTTGGGATTTCTTTAATGGACATAAAATGGGAAACAAAAGGGTGATGACAATGTATAAAGTCATTTTATAGAAGTTGAGTAATGTAAGATATTTAGGTGAGTTTATGGAATTATATTAATCAGAACTGCAGAAGCTGGAACCTGAGCAATCTACGCAATCATTTTAAGGGTATCTTGGAGTTGGGGACACGAAAGGTGCAAAATGGAAGACTTTTTTAAAATGTTGCCCTTTCTTTCTCTTGGACATTTAATGAAAAATGGACTTCCTGACTCTTTCTATGTAAACTCTTAATTTTACCAATATTGCAATGATGTCCTGAGCAGATACCCTCTGCAATGGATACTGATTGCAGGTGATTTGGTATTATGATCCTGTTTCCAGTAGTGGTAATTGGAGTCCAACCTCAGACCGCAAAGGTGAAAGGCCACTGAGCTCCTTATTGTGTCACCCAGTCCCACTGGCTGAACATTCCAGCTTTAATTTGCATTGATTTAAATGGATTTATACATTTTACAATCTTTTATTGCTTTGTTCTTTGTTGGGTACAAAGTAATTATATGAACTCAATTCTTCCATTCATCATCACTGGGTTCTTCTGGGCCTTTGATATTTGACAAGGACAAAGTTTGCAATGTGGTTAGTCTCTTCAAACACAGCCTTTCTGGCAGAGGCTTTTCATTTTGTCAGACGTTAATCGTTTTCGTACATCTGTGGGTTTACGCTTTCACAAATTAAAAACCCACGACGAATGGATCTGGAGGTGAATCATTCAGGAGCCGACAGTAAAACCTTCAGTCGCATGTTGAAATACATTTTTATTTTATTACAACTCACTCATTCCTTGCAGGTGTCAGATTATTCCCTATCGGCAGCTGAACACACGTCAGGCTCAGTCAATGAACACATATTAGAAACAGCCATCTGTTACAGTGTACAGTGAACTTTGTATTCTGAATACAGTGCTCTTTGCTGTAACGTCATCATATGTAAAAGGTAATTTTTGGTAGCCTCGTGCTCGAGTTACTCCTTTATGCTGCTCTGAAAACCTTGCATAATCAAACCCGCCATGGAGAAAAGATTCAAGTCAGTCCCTGAAACCCAACTGTTTGCACCTTTACACTCTTAAAGATTGTAATATTTGTTCTATTATCCCTTCTGTGTGGGGTGAGAGGTATTATTGTGAAGATAGAGCCTGGCCACTCAGTTTGTGAGAGGTTTTCAATTCACTTATAAGCCTGATCTGCAAGTTGATTTGATTTAAGGGATTTATTATTAGACATTTATCATTAATTTAATGGATTGAAATGGAATCTCCCATCGTGCTGTAAATCCAGACCAAGTGAAACAGCACAAGTATGGCTATTTACACATTAAGGAGAAGGGAATAGAAGGAGAGGGGGTTTGAACGGGTGAGGACTGAAGTGGAATATAAACACTAGCAAGGATTAGTTGGATCGAAGGGCCTGTTTTCATCTTGTACAGTATAATTCTATGGGGGTGGAGAAGGAATCCTGGGTAGTTTCTTAACATTTTGAATTTTGTGCATATTTTCACGGAGGCTCTTACGCTTCTCAACTGATGGTCCATCTTGTAATGTGGAGTTGCAGCAGAAGCTGAGCAGGTATTGCCTGAAGAGGGTGATGAGGGCAGAGACCTGAGGTGCTTCATCCAACAATCCACTCTGTGGGTGAAAAAGGACAAAAATACCTGATTAACAAAGTAAATGAGTTTGCCACAAAATACAGTCACTGTACTTTATAATAAATTCTGTGAAGCACATTGAGATGCCCTCAAACACGCTATATCAAATGCAAGGATTATTATTATTATTAATCAAATGCTTTCAAATATATCTTGTATTTAGTGTTGCAACAAGTGCAATTTAACTCTAATGGGTTTCCATTGAACCTCAAGTGTGACCACTTTATAAATAGCAGTAGGTGTACAGCAGGACAAAGTGATAATTAATTCATTAAATAGCTTGGCCTATGGAAGGTACAAGTCTGAATAGTGGAGAGAAGTACCTTAGCAACAGCGCAATTTGTTTGCTAGGAGCAAGGATGTCCCAAATCTTGCTCAGTTTCTGCTGCAGCTCCACATTGCGAGACAGTGATGGAGGTCAAAAAGGATCACTGGCTGAAAAGACAGATATCAGTCGGAAAGGAAATGTCAAACTCTTTGCAGGACTTGGGAGAGCGATCAAGACTGCATCACTATAACCAAGAGAAACGTGAGAAATGGAGCTTGGTGGAATTAATAACAGTAATGAGTGAAAATAGACTAAACAACTGGAAGTAAGCAAAAAATGGTGCTGGAGTTCCACAATTTCTTCAAAACCATTGCGGTAAAATAAACTTGTGTAAAATAAAGTTAAACTGCCCCCATTTAAATTCGTCCTCACAACATCGTGATGAGATGCAATGCAGGCACATCCTTGCTCAATCTGACTGACAGACAACCACAATGACCATCTGCAAGGCACTGCCTGCTCGTGTTCTCTGCTGAGATGCTGACCTGAAACCCATCCCTGGAGAGGCAAAGATTTCATACTAACGTCATTTTGTCTCTGGGGTATTTGCAGTCCAAATATGTTTTAACCCATTTGTACCAGATCCGTTTGAGCATGATCTAAAAGGTGAAAGAGTTAGGAAAGGACCTTACCATGTGGCAAACAATAGAACACATAGAGAATCTACCTAGAATAGGATTCAGGAATTTCTCTGTAACTAAGAACAACCTAAGGAATTACATTTAATGCATTTTCACTTGTTCCTGAAAGATAGCAGAAGGCAGGAGCACACTTGCCTATTGTTCAAGTGCGGAAGCCGGCCTCAACTAACAAGAACTGTTTGACGATTTGAGTCCAGGATTGCTTTGCCCTTCTTGTATCTGTACCTGTCTCTGACACTGTTTAGCATCCCTGGTGAGTGGCCATCAGGTAACAATAGGATCAAGCTTGGCCCATCATAGTCGAATAGACTGCTGAAACACAATGCCTCAACTCCTATGTGACCAATAGCCACTTACAATAAAACAAACCCTTGCATTTGATACAGCACCTTATTGCATCATTGAGACCTTTCAAAATGCTTCACAGGATATACTGTAAAGTATAGTGACTGTGTTTTGTGAATCTCACTTTGGTACGAATTACAAGGATGAAGATTTAAACCGTTTTTGTTCCCCCAGCAATCGGGGACCCGCTTAGTGCTTTCACTCAGGATGGCAGCAAATGTTCCCACCTGTCCTATAGCATTGCTTGATATCGGGATCAAAGATGCTATGAAAAGGGTGAAATAATACAAAGCTGCTGTGAGAACTGGCGGAAGAGGCTTAGCATTCAGGGCACAGAGCACTTTATTTGAATATACTGTGTTCTGTTTCTCTGGGAACACCTCCTTATTTCCATCTGTGTTTTCCTTACGCTGTTATATACCATGCCGTGAAGTGTCATTTCTAAAATATGGGAAAAGGGAATGAATTGTATTGCCGTGTTTGTGCAACAATAAATATTATTGAAACTGGGAGCAGTTGTTCGTTCTTTACTCGCCTTCTGTAAATTAAAAATAATAATGGGATAACCGGTGCCTGTCCATATCAAGTACAATATCATATCAGAGATGGAGAAACATCTCTCCTGTCCCTGACATTTATTGCCGTGTACAGTCAATCTTAGATGACTGTTATTGCTTATATAATTGTCAAAGCATCATTCATCCTACTGAGCAACAACCTTATCCCAGAATTGTAAAAATACATCCCCATCTATTTTTTCATCATTTACTTATTTTTTTTGCATTGCCAGAATTTTTTTTAAATGAATTTGCCGATTTGGGTTG